TTCACCGACATTACTTGGCCAAACACCAAAAACAAAGACATATGTGAGATTTATGATGATTAATTTATAAAACAGAAATCATTTTCCATGAATTAGAATGAAAATGCATTTTAATGCCGATATTGCATTCTCCGCAATACACAAAGAAAGAGTCAAGGGGTCCAAATTAAAAATTACACAAATCAGAGTTCATTGAAAAAGTGCATAAAGAGTCCATTAATGACACAGTAGTCAGGTAACACGTCATCAATAGCGAGTGTGACCACTTGGGCACCCATGCACGCCAACACACGCCTCCTCATTGACGTCGTCAGTCGGCGAATAACGTCAACAGGAATCCCGTTCCATAAGTTCAATAGAGTCTGTTCAAGTTCCTGTCGGTTTCGCTGGATTCGGTACATGTTGTCTCAGCTGACGATCAAGATGATCCCAGAGATGTTCAATGGGGTTCATGACTGGAGAACAAGGTGGCCAGGGCAATACGTTGACGTTAACGTTGTTCAGGTAGTCTTGAACAATTCGGGCGGTGTGAGGCCTTGCGTTGTCTTCTTGCAAAATTAATCCTCATGGCTGATGTTGAATAAAGGGCACCACAACAGGTCTCAACACTTCATCCCTGTATCGCTGAGCATTCAGGTTTCCTCGGATGATAACCAGCCGTGTTGTAATCTGGCCTCATATGCCTACCCATACCATGACGCCTCCACCTCCAAATAGTTTGGCACCAGTCGCTCTCTCCTTCGTCGAAAAGCTCGAACTCTGCCATCGTTCCTGAACAGACAGAACCGACTTTCATCTGTAAAAAGCACTCTCGCCCAGTCACGTCGCTGCAACCGACGTACAGTTCGTGCCCATTGCAGTCTGCGTTGACGGTGTAGACGGGTCAAGGCCATTCCACGGAAGGGTCGGTAGGCTCGTATACCAGCTGTACGAAGTCGTTGAAGGACTGTTCGTCTGCTGATGGCATGCCCTAGTGCTGATGCCGCCGTTGACGTCGCCGTCACACATCTGTTTCGGAGGTGAATCTGCCGGATGTAGCGGTCTTCGGTCGGTGTTGTCACTCTCGGTCTTCCCGATCTTGGCCGGTCTTGAGTCTGTCCTGTCTGTTGGTAGCGGATTATCAACTTGCTGATGGTGGTCTGGGAGCAGTTAAAGGTTCTGGCTATCTGACGTTGAGTAGCCCCCATATTGGCCATACCGATCGCTCTGTCTCGTTGCGCTTGTGTAAGACTGGGCATATTCTTGGTGGTTTTTTGCTTACTGAATGCCTGCTCTGTCCAACGTTGGTATTTATGCCACAATCACGCACGTGCATTTGGACCAATGTCTCAAAATCACGTTTTGCACGTTTTCAACAATGCATGATTTCGAAAGCTGCGTTGTGGTTGTGGTCACGATGCATTTGGGCGACTGTTTTCTGCGGGGGTTCAAACCTGTACCAGCTTTTTTGCTTTTTATACAACTGTTTTTAAAGTGAAAACTTTCTTTTGCCCGGTAGTTTAGCAAATCTGGAGTTCAAAGCTGAAATCTCGCAATAAAGTCAAAGCTACAAATACTTATGCTGTATCCATCCTTTCGTATTCTCTTGGTATTGTTAAATTGGACGAAACAAGAAATTCACGGTACTGCCACCCTCACATGAAGAATCATGTGAGACAACAGATCCCACCACTCTCTTACCTCAATCGTTTATATTTACCATTTATAATGGGACTGCGTGGTAAGATTAACATGGAGGCTCTTCATGATACTATTGTATTGTGCACTTTGACACACATTTATTTGTGTGAACATTGGAAGTATGTCAAGACACATGTTGAAAACAAGAGGTTCCATCGTTTTCTTAAACAACCAAGGCGGTGGTACATAATCTCAATGTCAATATTGATTGTGTTGATGGTTCTGTACTGCTGGGCGGTGCAGAAATGAATGTCAAGCAAGCGAAGTGCAATATCAGATCAGTGTTTTCAAGGAGAACGACCACTGCATCAAGTTTATGTGTAGTGTGTTGAGAGCAAGCAACCCTGCAGAGTCCTTCGTTTGGATGAAGTCGGCTGGCATGAAAAAATGAAACAGAAGGCTTTCCGTTTGCTGCTCAGGAAATGAAATGTAGATTGTGAAATGAAGTTTAATGAGACTGTCCATCACATTGTCAGTGGATGGCCAGCTTTGGCATAAACGCACTGTCTTAAGCGACATGATGGAGTGGCTCGATCTTTTAATTACCGTCTTCGCCATGCTTGTGGTTTTGACACAGAGATCTATCCATGGTACGACCCGGAATATGTAGAGGGCGTCATGGTAAATTCAAAATTCTTTAGAATAGGCCCGTATACAACCTCAGACCTATCCAGGCCAACAAACCTGATCTTGTCGTGTAAAATAAATCCAATGAAATCATTTATATAATTGAATTTTCTGTTCCTTTTGACACTTGACACAAGATTCAGGAAATGTCCCACTTGCATCCCAAATACCAAGTTGTCCGACTCCCCATTGTTCTCGGAGCCTTAGGTTTGGTACCTACCAATCTGTTGACTGACATAGGGAGAGTACCCGGGTTTGCTAACAGGAATACAACCCTTCTGCCAATCTGGGAAATGCAGAAGGTTGCAGTGTTGAGGAGTCTTCACATGCTCCGAAATGTTCTGGGTGGGTTTGACCCATGCAGCGCTCTCTGGGGAAAATCCCATTCGCTGTCTGGGCTGCATGTAGGCCCTGAGCTGATGATGAGCCTAGCAAGACAGACTGCCAGGATCACCCAAACCCTCTTTTCTGCAAAAGTATTTTAATTTGTAAATAACAGTGATGATGATGATGATGATGATGATGATGATGATGATGATGGTGGTGGTGAAGCCACTCGTGGGCATACAAACCCACGGTCAAGAAATGTCAATATTGCTGAAAATTGATGGGTCTTTAGTCGTGATTTAAAGGCGGTTAATGAAGGGGGTGCATCAGAACTGTAAAGGAAGAGAGTCCATAACAGTGCAGCAGAGGGGCACAATAAAGCATATCAAACGATTAACCAAACTGCTATTGTATGTTTTACCACACACAATATGATCAATATGATATCGTCAATTCAATCACAATTGTTTAACACGCCCATCATCAGTGGAATTCTGTGTTCTGAGATCTAAGCCAGAACGCGTGCTTCAAACTTAGATCAAAAGTAGATCGGATGCGTTTTTTCTCGACTCCGGTACAGACGACCGTGGTGTCGTGTGTCCAATTTACAATATAAATATAGTTTGCTCTTTCGTGAATGGCGTTCTAGCTTACAGCACGCCATAGAGAAATCGCGATATTTAGTGAATATGCAGGTGCTGGCTTTAGCATGGAATGTCTTCCTAGAGAAAAGGTTCTCTAAAATGTGGATCCGGCGTTGTGAGAGAATACCCCACTAGCCATAAGAGCAACAGGTGCTGTCTGTTAGATTAATTAGAGTCAGGGTGAAATTCCTAATGATAACCGACAAAGATGTCTCAGATTGCCGACAATAAACCCCCTCTCTGCGGTGGCTCACTCAATAACAAGGGAATTCATTGTTTTACATGCGTCATCATAGTTTGGATAACGGCACATTTTGGACCTTGTGTACTTACAAACAATTTGAAATAATGGTTAAAAAATCACCAGACATGATAAAATGGTGACAAGTGACCCTTTTCTCTCTCTGACTTGCAAGTGTTATTTACTTCTGGCATGTTCAAGTACACAAGAAATTAGGGAAAAGGAACGATCTATCCCAAATCTAAAAATAGACAAGTCCGTGACCCAACATGTATTTTTTACCATATGTTTTTTTTCCGTCAGCTTGGGTCAAAGATTTGCTTTTGTTCTAATATGTAAAAACGCTTCCTGGTAACCTCCACAAAATGGCCTTTTGGACACATTTTAGCCTCACGTCTGCATTTTGTGTTGTCATAAGTCGCAAACATGCAGCTGGTGAATTGAACAAAGTCTACTTCCATCTGATCATTTTTAAATTGATTTAAAAAATATTTCTGATCTATTAAATTATGCATCTTCCATGTGCAAATTGGGCATTTGTCATCCCTCCTGCTTCCTGGATCTTTCATGTTTAAATGTTTAAGTTTGAATTGTTGAAAATATTTTCCATTCTTTCCTCCTAAATTCGTTGATAACTTCATTGATTCGAGGCAGGAACAGAGTTGCGTTCGGCATGGAGACATGCATGTCGCATCCATTATTAAATGCGTTTTGTTAAAATTTATCCGAAAAGCTCCGTTTTAGTTCATTTTTCTCTGCATTCGCCTAACTATGAAATTCAACTGTCATGCAGGCATATGACGCCATAGCATTTAAGAGTGACGTCATGTCTATTAGGGGCACGGATGTCCCAGTCGTCTCAGGCGCCGCGATTCGCTGTGCAGAGTTGTGTCCCTTGGGCACGCCAGAAACCTATGGTCGTGGGTTCAAATCCCGGTTCGCCCCGATTATGTTTCTAGGTTTGTCAGCACCATACCAGTGCTCGTGGGTTTCACCGAAGTGGTAAACGTCTGAGACCTGCATTCCTTCAGGCTTTCATCCCACATTAAGCTGACACGCCGCGATATAACTGGAATACTGTTAAAAGCGGCGTTAAACCTAACTCACTCACTCACTCACTCATAACATCAGACATGAGATACCCACTGCCTGCGCGTGTACGTCACGTATGCATACCATCAAGAATAAGAGCGGTGTAATTCTTCTTATAAAAAAATCGTTTGTTATGCCACAGCTGAACAATAACTACGAATATCCTAATTGTATGGTTGTGAAAATACTATTTTTATATCTAAGCTCGTTCGAGGATCAAATAGATTTGCCGTTTTTACTTTTATTAGCGCTTATCCTTAAAATTGTGCCGTTATATACGTATGTACACCGAGATGTAACTGTATCATTGTATGTATACAAGCGATATCTAACTGTGTAAATGTTTATACACACCACCTTTTTATCATTCGCATCTTTTTCAACTTCAGGAAAGATTGGTGACGCTACCTGTGGCAGTGATGAAGATTGCTCGGCTGCTGTTGCCAACAGCATCTGCTCCAAGGGCGCGTGCGTGTGTATCAGCGGTTATCGTGTGACGTCAGACAACAAGCACTGTATACTTAGTAAGTTAAACGCAACAACCTTTTGCATAAGAAAACCGGTCATTAAAAGATATGCAATCGGTTCATGTCAACCGTCGTTTAGAAATTCCATTCTCAGTCAGATTCTGTCCACTGCCGTTCTGGATATTGATTTTCACAGACAAAAATAATGCGACTTTTTTATGTGATTTGAAACTTTTGATCAACCAATCAGAATCAATTGCTTTCCAAAGGCATGGAATATTATCTTTTGGGCATTGGCATGCAGATAATCTGTGATGTTCCTGGACAACAAGTGGTTGATATATTGTAGATAATCTGTAATGTGCCGGGTGAGATGAGGTGACATGGGGTTTAACGTCGCGTTAAAGATTACTACACTAATACAGCTACGTGTATTCACGTGTGTATGTGTGTGTGGCTGCTTGTACTAGTCTGGACTGATGCCGATTTCTAGTGCTAGCCCACTGAGATACCATCCCACAGTTTAACATGAACATGAGTATACTGACTCCGAGCCGACCAGTCCTTGTTTTATCCCCTTAATGTCGAGCTCCAGGCAGGGTAACAACAAATACCGACCTAACGCTCCCCGGGAAGACGCTTAACCACTAGACCAGAGAGGCGGTCTAATGTACCAGAACTAACAGTGGTTAATTTAATGATCAAAAGTCTTGGTTGTCAGGTTAAAGTAAAATACAATCGGCACTGACACGCTGAAACCAACTGATCTTTTTATCCTTTTAAAGACGAGAACGCGAGGAAATAGAATGGCGCATTCTCTTGTTCTATGTGTTTTAGAAAAGGTACTTTGTCCAAAAAACACCCCCAGAGAATGCAAGAATATAAGAATTTTGTCAAATCTCGCGTTCACGTGATTTCGCAATCTTGTCATTTATCCATATTTTGTCCCTGTATTAAAGGTCGCGATCGCGAGAATGCGAGTACGCTTCCAAGTGTCTCCAAAGGAAAGTAGCCATCTATTATGCATCCGGTTTCGAGTAAAATATATTTATTATGATATTTCATGTTCATGTATTACAGACTTTATGTGAGCAACTATTTTTCAGGAAAAATCGCGGACAAATGCAGCGTTCATAGCGACTGTACCGATGCCGTGGCACACAGCAACTGCACCAAAGGCGCCTGCACTTGCAACTCCGGATACTATGGCAACCCTAGAAGCACGGAGTGCACAGTCCGTAAGATCGGAGATCGTTGTAGCATTAACTCAGACTGCACAGATGCAGTTGGAAACAGCACTTGCAGCAGCAAAATGTGCACGTGCAAGCCTGGATTTAGGGTAGGCGATGACGACAATGAGTGCATCATGAATAAAATCGACGATTTCTGTTTCTTTGATATGCACTGCAGTGATGCTATTCCAAATAGCTATTGCAAGGACTCAAAATGCGCGTGTGAAGTGGGATACAGGGTTGTTAAAGAAAACACGAAATGCCTAAAACGTAAAATTGGGGACCCAACCTGTAAAGTCCATGACGACTGCAGGTCTGTCATAGCTGACTCGGAGTGCCGAGGATCAATGTGCGTCTGTCGGTCTGGTTTCCTCGCAAGTCCTGAGTTGGATTCCTGTGACCTCCGAGGTATTGGTGATGCCTGTGCCGTCCATGCCGATTGTTTTGACGCTGTGGAGCACAGCAACTGCACCGACGAGGCGTGTGTGTGTGACATGGGGTATTATTCGAGTGACAATAGTAATGAGTGCATTATTCGGACTATAGGAAGTAAATGCGAAGTAGACAGTGATTGTCGTGCAGTTTCCATGGGTAAATGTGTTAGTAAGATTTGCGAATGTGCGTCAGGGTACCACTCTATAAACTCGGGTACCGAATGCGAACAGCGCAGAATAGGTGATGCAACATGCACGACAAACCGAGACTGCTTCGACGCTGTCCTTGACAGCAACTGCACCAACGGGGCGTGCACCTGCAATTCTGGGTTTTACCAAAGCTCTGATAAATCTAAATGCATCCTTCGCAAAATAAATGATTTTTGTTTTATGGCTACGCCCACTGACTGCTCTGACGCCGTGACAAATAGTGACTGTCTCAACTTCGTGTGTAAATGCGTTTCCGGATTTTACCCTTCTAGGGATTTCAGCAAGTGCATTAAACGGAAGATATACGACAACACCTGTTTCAGCGACACGGACTGTCACGATGCTGTTCGGAACAGCAATTGTACCAAAGGCACGTGCTTGTGTGATTCGGGGTTCAAGGTCACCGTGTACAACTCCTCTTGTATACGACGTCAAGTAAATGATGAGTGCGCTCTTGATACAGACTGTAGAGATGCAATTGATAGCAGCACCTGTGACAACAACAGATGCTCCTGTGTACCAGGGTATAGGGCGTCCAACGACAGAAACACATGCATAAAACGAAAGATTGGTGATGCGTCTTGCAACGTCGACAGTGACTGTTTCAACGCCGTTCCAAACAGTAATTGCACAAATGGTGTCTGCTACTGTGACTCTGGCTACAGAAGTGAAGACGCGCAAGACCTTTGCACAAAGCGGGTCATTCATGACGCCTGTGACATTGACACTGATTGTTCTGACGCCGTGTTGCATAGCAACTGTGAGGGCGGCGTGTGTCAGTGTAACGGTGGGTTCTACGTCACCGGAAACATGACATCCTGTATCCAGCGTAAAATAGGTGACAGTAACTGTAAATCAGACCCTGACTGTTCTGACGCAGTCCCCGACTCTATGTGCTTGAATAACACCTGTACGTGTGTGTCCGGGTCTCACCATACTGATGACTTCAAGATATGCGTGCTCAGAGTGGTTGGAGATGCCACGTGTAAGGTTGACGCCGATTGCAGCGACGCCGTTGCCAATAGCAACTGTACATCTGGCACGTGCTACTGTAATTCTGGCTTCTACGATGAAAATTATAGAACAGAGTGTGTTAAAAGTAAGTATGACGCTTGTAGTTGTCAAATATATAAAATTCACTTTTTGTTGGCGATACTGGGATTGTCTGATGGTCGTGTATACACGTCCTCTCTGTTTATCAATCAATCTGTCGGTATTTATACATCCCCGTCTCTGCTCACCAATCCACCTGTCGGTATCTATACATTCCCGTCTCTGCTCACCAATCCACCTGTCGGTATCTATACATCCCCGTCCTGGTCACCAATCCATCTGCCAGTATCTATACATTCCCGCCTCTGCTCACCAATCCACCTGTCGGTATCTATACATCCCCGTCTCTGGTTACCAATCCATCTGCCAGTAACTATACATCCCCGTCTCTGGTCACCAATCCATCTGTCGGTATCTATACATCCCCGTCTCTGGTCACCAATCCATCTGCCAGTATCTATACATCCCGGTCTCTGGTCACCAATCCATCTGTCGGTAGCTATACATCCCCGTCTCTGGTCACCAATCCATCTGTCGGTATCTATACATCCCCGTCTCTGGTCACCAATCCATCTGTCGGTTTTTATACATCCCCGTCTCTGGTCACCAATCCACCTGTCGGTATCTATACATCCCCGTCTCTGGTCACCAATCCATCTGTCGGTATCTATTTATCCCCGTCTCTGGTCACCAATCCATCTGTCGGTATTTATACATCCCCGTCTCTGGTCACCAATCCATCTGCCAGTATCTATACATCCCCGCCTCTGGTCACCAATCCATCTGTCGGTATCTATACATCCCCGTCTCTGGTCACCAATCCATCTGTCGGTATCTATACATCCACGTCTCTGCTCACCAATCCATCTGTCGGTATCTATACATTCCCGTCTCTGATCACCAATCCACCTGTCGGTATCTATACATTCCCGTCTCTGGTCACCAATCCAACTGTCGGTATCTATACATCCCCGTCTCCGCTCACCAATCCACCTGTCGGTATCTATACATCCCCGTCCTGGTCACCAATCCATCTGCCAGTATCTATACATTCCCGTCTCTGCTCACCAATCCACCTGTCGGTATCTATACATTCCCGTCTCTGGTCACCAATCCATCTGTCGGTATCTATACATCCCCGTCTCTGGTCACCAATCCATCTGCCAGTATCTATACATCCCGGTCTCTGGTCACCAATCCATCTGTCGGTAGCTATACATCCCCGTCTCTGGTCACCAATCCATCTGTCGGTATCTATACATCCCCGTCTCTGGTCACCAATCCATCTGTCGGTATCTATACATCCCCGTCTCTGGTCACCAATCCATCTGTCGGTATCTATATATCCCCGTCTCTGGTCACCAATCCATCTGTCGGTATTTATACATCCCCGTCTCTGGTCACCAATCCATCTGCCAGTATCTATACATCCCCGCCTCTGGTCACCAATCCATCTGTCGGTATCTATACATCCCCGTCTCTGGTCACCAATCCATCTGTCGGTATCTATACATCCACGTCTCTGCTCACCAATCCACCTGTCGGTATCTATACATTCCCGTCTCTGCTCACCAATCCACCTGTCGGTATCTATACATTCCCGTCTCTGGTCACCAATCCACCTGTCGGTATCTATACATCCCCGTCTCCGCTCACCAATCCACCTGTCGGTATCTATACATCCCCGTCCTGGTCACCAATCCATCTGCCAGTATCTATACATTCCCGTCTCTGCTCACCAATCCTCCTGTCGGTATCTATACATTCCCGTCTCTGGTCACCAATCCACCTGTCGGTATCTATACATCCCCGTCCTGGTCACCAATCCATCTGCCAGTATCTATACATTCCCGCCTCTGCTCACCAATCCACCTGTCGGTATCTATACATTCCCGTCTCTGGTCACCAATCCATCTGTCGGTATCTATACATCCCCGTCTCTGGTCACCAATCCATCTACTGGTATCTAAATACTCGTCTCTGGTCACCAATCCATCTACTGGTATTTATATATCCACCTCTCTGCTCACTTATCGATTTACTAGTATCAATATACCCGACCTCTCGGCGCACCAGTCCATCTACCAGTATCTATATAATCATCCTCTCTGCTAAAATAAACCCAATACTCACTCGTATCTTCCTCTCTGCTCACCAATACTGCTACTAGTACATATATGCCCACCAGAAAGCTAACTGCAGCTCATGTGTCTATGATCTCTATTTCATCACCCATCTACTGGTATTTATGTGTTCATGGTCTCTATTTCATCACCCATCTACTGGTATTAATGTGTCCATGGTCTCTATTTCATCGCCCATCTACTGGTAATAATGTGTCCATTGTCTCTATTTCATCACCCATCTACTGGTATTAATGTGTCCATGGTCTCTATTTCATCACCAATCTACTGGTATTAATGTGTCCATGATCTCTATTTAATCACCCATCTCCTATTATCTAAACAACTTCACTTTGTTGCAGGGAAAATAGGCGACGCTACGTGCTTCCGTGATTCCGACTGTTCTGATGCAGTTGCCAATAGCAATTGTACCTCTCGCATGTGTCTGTGTAATTCTGGTTACCATGCCAACACCAAAAAAACAACATGCAGCATGCGAAAGATCTATGACACCACATGTCTCATTGACTCCGACTGCAATGACGCTGTCCCAAAAAGCCACTGTGTTGGCGGGGTGTGTTTGTGTTTACTTGGCCACAGTGTGAACAAGAAGAGGACGGTTTGCACCGAACGCCGAATTTACGATAGAACTTGTGAAAAAAATATTGACTGCAACGCAGCGGTGACTAACAGTAACTGTACAGATGGCACGTGCTACTGTAATTCCGGTTACTATAGCAACAAATTCAATGATACCTGTACAAAACGCAAAATTGGAGACTCTTGCTCATTGGACACTGACTGTAATTCTGTCGTTGCCATGAGCGCATGCGCGAAAGCTAGATGCACGTGCTTATCGGGATACCAAGTAGATGATACGAAGACTACGTGCACGAAGAGGAAGATATTTGATTCTACGTGTACGGTTGACGCTGACTGCTATGATGCCGTTTCCCATAGCAACTGCTCCCGTGGAATATGCAAATGTGATTCGGGTTATCATGTTTCCACCAACAAGACTATGTGTATTCTAAGTAAGTAGTAAAACTAACCCAAACCCATTAGCCTACCTTGAAACTCCTATAACTAGCAAGCTTTATTCAGACGTAAAACCCTATTCACTCAGCACACTGACCCGCGACGATCCGTGTTTGAATAGGTCTTCAGCCATCCATGCTTGCCGTAAATGGAGTCTATGCTTGTCTTAAGAGGCGACTAACGGGATCCGGTGGTCAGGCTCGCTGACTTGTTTGATACATGTCATCGTATACCAATTGCGTAGATCGATGCTCATGATGTCAATGACGACTCAATTTTGCACAGACTGTCGTCATATAGTTTAAATATTGCTGAGTACGGCGTTAAACAACAAACAAACAGAGCACAAGGGTGTAATGTCGGTGCCCCTTCTGTTTCGCCATACGCATTACTTTTATGTGGGTTCTAGAAGTGGAAGGTCGCTTCAGCTCCCACCCCCCTCCAATTGAGGATTCTTGGGTTCTTGATCCCACCAGATGTCTAAAACGAGTAAAATATCTGATTTTAATTGGTTTGCAGTGTTTCATCGTCGATTTTCACAGATAATAGTGACTCCTGTCTTTAAATCTCAGAAATTCAACAATACCATTATCGCTGTAACAGTGTTGGCCCGATTCAATGAATAACGCTAAATACAGTTTGTGTTTTTAGTTGTTGAAGCGTTTGCGATTGAGATTCAATTTTTTTCTTTCTTTCTTATGAAATATTAACATTTCTGATAAATTTCGGCCTTCATACACTCGTGTAAAGCGCTTTCATTTTCAAAGCATGTAATTACGTTGTTACCAAACATTAAATCCATCTTTAAAATGTTTGGCTACATACATGCTGAAGAGACAATATACAATGTATTCAAGAATACATGGACATAATCTCTGAAATGTGAGACCAACCGTGTTTGGAAATACTGTTCGAAAAGAAATCATTCTACTCTTTGATTGAATTGGCGGACATACTCAGAAAGTTTAGAAATGATCGTTAATTCCATGCTCTTTTCAAGGTTGGAAATAATGTTTTTCGTCCAGTGATTACATCGCCGTTTCCCCCCGCTGCAATATGTAATGTACATGTTCAGTATGTTCATGTTCTTCCAGGAATGATTGGTGATGCTTCCTGTGTGATAAACTCTGACTGCAATGCCGCCGTCCCGCACAGCTGGTGTAGCGAGGGAACATGCACGTGCGACTCCGGATATGACGTCACACACTTAAAAACTGCGTGTGTCAAGCGTAAGTTGCCCAGCTGACAGCGCCGGTTGAGAAGCTTTGGAGGAAGATTCATTGAATATTTTTTTTATTTTCTACATGTTGTTGATCATTTTAGTTTCTTGGGAGCAAATGAGATTACCTTTAGTTTTGTTGGAGTTAATTCTTTATGTGCAATACATCTGCGCAAGCGAATAATTAATCTTATGTAAGCTTTTTTAATTTTGCTTGCAGTAACCCTTGTTTAAATAGTACTAATATTTACTTTTCAGTTTAATTTGCAGAGAGGCCTACAATCTTAATGTTGTTCATGTTATGACCAAGTTCAGGAGATTTAATCAACGTACAGATATTGCTATATGTTTATACGTCCGGAGAAACCTCACTTATCTGGATAATCACTGTTCCGGGCATTTGTTAATCCAAACATGTGTTAAACGGACATCTATGCATCCGGACATGTGTTAATCCGTACACTTTTGTCAATCAAAAATTATTAATCCTGACATTTGTTTATCCGGACATTTGTTAATCCGGATATTTGTTTATCCAAACATGTGTTAAACCGGACATTTGTTAATCACATCCGGACGAATTCATTTGACACAGCACCGTCCTGATTTGTGAGGTTTCACTGTATACAGAAAGTTCCTGTACATGTATTATCCGACCTACATGCTAAAAATTCTATATATGAAAATGTTATCAAACCCAGATTCACAAATCCTTCGTTGAAAGTCTTTTTGACAAGCTTTGGTAACTGACATAGACGAATTGATACTTTCAGTAGATGTTTTGGTACAGAAGTGAAAGCAATGGTAATATATATGTTACGTGCATTATCCCTGACTTGGTTATTTTGCTTTGATAACGGCATAACCTATTCAACATTCATTCAAACTATCATATGTTCCTTATTGACCTCATTTCAGGGCAAAGGAAGCCTCACTTACATTGTGTGTATTGCTTGCCCACGCTATTTTCGCTAAGAACAATTGTCAAATATACTCTTTGTATGATGTTTTTGGCATAAACTGACCCAACTTCATCCTCGTGAACTAGACTTAGTCAAAGAATTCTCAAAATATCAAATGTGAACATTCGATCTTTATATCAAAAGAGCTTCATTAAGCGATTGCCGTCTTCAAAGCGTACAGATGTTTTACGACGTCAAGACACGAGTGACTAGTGTTCAGTGGGTCATAGCGTGGGTATTTAGGTTTCTACTAATATGTGTGGTTTTAGTTGCTCAGCAGAAAGTGTTTTCTAGGTCCTTCGTATTTGAGTGAGAGGTGCTATTTCTTCGCCCAGTGTCGGCATATTCACCCCAAAAGCTATTGTGATGCTAACGATGCCTGTGTTTGTCCACACGAACACTTTGTTCTTTTTGACAACATCACGTGTCAGCCATGTAAGTATGTTTTCAGTACGGTAAACGTATGTTAAAAGCAGGGTCCGGGTTTTTTCCATAAACATTGAAACCCTGTTAATCCGAAACCTTACGTATCCGACCCTCCTGTTTCGGTGTCTGCCTTATGGGCGAATCATGGTGAGAAGGTTTAGACGTTATTCCATTGGTTGATGCACGTCATCGTATCCCAATTTCGTAGATCGATGCTCATGATGTCAATCACTGGATTGTCTGGTCCAGATTCGATTATTTACTGACCGCCGTCATATAGCTGGAATATTGCTGAGTGCGGCGTTAAACAGTTCAAACAAACGTTACACCGTGCCCCTGATTTACTATAGGGGCGATGTCATCAAGAAGATGCTGTCCAGATTAAGGGGGTTTCACTGTATAATCAAGACACATCAGTGTTTGTGACACTATAGCCAACCTATCAAGTCATATGTTTCCAATCATTGACTGTGTGATATGGCAGTATGACCAAAACCTTTCAAGTCGCAATATATATGACAAGGGCTATCAATGTGTAGCCTGTCGCAAACTACAAGAACATTGTCATACATTTCTTACAATCCGTCATCATTACATAGGTTTACCCTTACATAATGTAGCCTGTCGTAAACTACAGTGAACATTGTCATACATTTCTTACAATCCGTCATTAATACATAGGTTTACTCTTTAAATAATGTAGCCGGTCGCAAACTACAATAAACATTGTCATACATTTCTTACAATCCGTCATTAATACATAGGTTTACTCTTTAAATGATGTAGCCTGTCGCAAACTACAATGAACATTCTCATACATTTCTTACAATCCGTCATTAATACATAGGTTTACTCTTTAAATAATGTAGCCGGTCGCAAACTACAATAAACATTGTCATACATTTCTTACAATCCGTCATTAATACAAAGGTTTACTCTTTAAATAATGTAGCCGGTCGCAAACTACAATAAACATTGTCATACATTTCTTACAATCCGTCATTAATACATAGGTTTACTCTTTAAATAATGTAGCCTGTCGCAAACTACAATGAACATTGTCATACATTTCTTACAATCCGTCATTAATACATAGGTTTACTCTTTAAATAATGTAGCCTGTCGCAAACTACAATGAACATTGTCATACATTTCTTACAATCCGTCATTAATACATAGGTTTACTCTTTAAATAATGTAGCCTGTCGCAAACTACAATGAACATTGTCATACATTTCTTACAATCCGTCATTAATACATAGGTTTACTCTTTAAATAATGTAGCCGGTTGCAAACTACAATGAACATTGTCATACATTTCTTACAATCCGTCATTAATACATAGGTTTACTCTTTAAATAATGTAGCCTGTCGCAAACTACAATGAACATTGTCATACATTTCTTACAATCCGTCATTAATACATAGGTTTACTCTTTAAATAATGTAGCCGGTCGCAAACTACAATAAACATTGTCATACATTTCTTACAATCCGTCATTAATACATAGGTTTACTCTTTAAATAATGTAGCCTGTCGCAAACTACAATAAACATTGTCATACATTTCTTACAATCCGTCATTAATACATAGGTTTACTCTTTAAATAATGTAGCCTGTCGCAAACTACAATGAACATTGTCATACATTTCTTACAATCCGTCATTAATACATAGGTTTACTCTTTAAATAATGTAGCCTGTCGCAAACTACAATGAACATTGTCATACATTTCTTACAATCCGTCATTAATACATAGGTTTACTCTTTAAATAATGTAGCCGGTTGCAAACTACAATGAACATTGTCATACATTTCTTACAATCCGTCATTAATACATAGGTTTACTCTTTAAATAATGTAGCCTGTCGCAAACTACAATGAACATTGTCATACATTTCTTACAATCCGTCATTAATACATAGGTTTACTCTTTAAATAATGTAGCCGGTCGCAAACTACAATGAACATTGTCATACATTTCTTACAATCCGTCATTAATACATAGGTTTACTCTTTAAATAATGTAGCCTGTCGCAAACTACAATGAACATTGTCATACATTTCTTACAATCCGTCATTAATACATAGGTTTACTCTTTAAATAATGTAGCCTGTCGCAAACTACAATGAACATTGTCATACATTTCTTACAATCCGTCATTAATACATAGGTTTACTCTTTAAATAATGTAGCCGGTTGCAAACTACAATGAACATTGTCATACATTTCTTACAATCCGTCATTAATACATAGGTTTACTCTTTAAATAATGTAGCCTGTCGCAAACTACAATGAACATTGTCATACATTTCTTACAATCCGTCATTAATACATAGGTTTACTCTTTAAATAATGTAGCCTGTCGCAAACTACAATGAACATTGTCATACATTTCTTACAATCCGTCATTAATACATAGGTTTACTCTTTAAATAATGTAGCCGGTCGCAAACTACAATGAACATTGTCATACATTTCTTACAATCCGTCATTAATACATAGGTTTACTCTTTAAATAACACAAGTGTTAATGCAATGCTTTATTTATCAATTAGCTAAGTATAACTACATTAGGATGGCCCTGTAGAGACTTGTCCCCATCGTTAGCCATTACATCTCAAAATGATCCAATATGCGAAGAATAAGGGACGAGGTTGACGTCAATTATACCAAGTGTGCGTCTTGCATGAATTATCTACATGTAACTGCAAATGTGCAAAGCGTTTTGCATTTCGATGCACTCGCTTCTGACAACTGCAGGGTGCGCCGATACAGGTGCAAGGAACGTTAAAACATTTCAACCGAGCCTATAACTTGCCATAATTAATATCACTCCTGAATTATGATCCTAAATAGATTATAAACATGAAAGTATGCAATCACCTGCCTCAGATATTCATTTGTAATACGAAATAAATTGCGGTACACTCTCAGTTTAAACTTCTTTAAAGCGATCTCTGACACCGAATGCACATTAACGTCCTATTGGTGAGAATAATGATGCTGAAATGTAATATGAGAGACTCGTAATGACATGCAGTGTGTAACTTACAGGGCATGATACGGCTTGGATCGCTGTTTGCTCCCACATCTGAGGGGTACAGTTTACCTTCTTTGAAATGATAATACATAAGCCAGACTTCGTTAAGAGGAGTTCGTTTTTCCTGATTATATTTATGATCGTATTTTTTCCTGACATTAAATCAAAATGTTTTCAGTTCTTAACGTTCCGCCTCCATCAGGTGTTTGCTAAAATGACACACGTGATCGTTTCGATAGGTACTAAATAATGACCCTCGTGTAGGCGTGGCTTCATCTTTGGCCTGTCGTTGATGTGTCTTGTGGTCTGAATACAAACACTTTGCAGCAAAACAAACACTTCAGCTTATCTTTTCATGGATACAAATATTAGGATTAAATGTTGGAAGGTACAATGCAAAGAGAACACATGAACGTGATTCTGAGACACGTAAATTCGATACTCGTACATTGTATATCTTAATATGTTATTATTGTCCTTTACTGTATGCGTGAGTTAGTGTGGTTTTACGCCGCTTTTAGCAATATTCCAGGAATATTACGGTGGGGGGACACCAGAAATCGGCGTCACCCATTGTATTTATTTGAGCAACGAACCCGGCTCTTCGGCGTGACCAACGAACACTTCAACCACTAAGCTAACCACCGGTCCGTTCTTTAATTAACGTGATATACGTACTTATTAGGTGATTTCTGGTACTTTTTAATTTTTTTACGCGCATCAGTAAAGAGGTTTATTTAACCTTATGTGCGCAATTCAAACTTTTCGTTACTTGACGTCACACATGTATGAGTACAATGTAAGGAGGTTAAATATTCTGTATTTAACGTTTACACATAAATGTAGGATCGTTTATAGTTATTTAAGGTTAATATGAGGAACGCAAAGATAGGTTGTTTCTTCATCATTACAGTTGACGGTTCAATGTTTGAAGGTTGTACACGCAGGGGCGGTGAGGTAGCTTAGTGGTTAAAGCGTTCGCTCGCCCCGCCTAAGGCCAGGGTTTGACTCCCTTCATGGATAGATAGACAGACAGGCAGGTTTATTTGGATTAAAGGCCACGTGACCTAAAGTACAAAACTTTTTACATTATAATTTGAGATACCATATGAAGATATACCGACTCAAATTAACAAAATTACTTATTAAGAGGAACAGTTCTTAAAAGATGTTTCTTAAACTTGGTAAATGCAATTCAGTAGACTACGGTTATAACGAACTCGAGGGGACCACTAAATTTAGTTCGTAATAACCGTAGTTATATGCATACATACCGCATATATACAACAAATGGTCTGGACTAAAAATAAGTTCGTTATATCCGTCAGTTCGTTATAATCGTGTTCGTTATAAACGTAGTTTATTGCAATACATTAATATCTGTCAAATACGTAGGCTTTTTAAGTGAATGATACTGCTTATTTGCCAATTTAGGTAATAACATTTTACGCTTATCTTCATAATGTTTACAGTCATATACAACATGAATTTCATCTTCAATTGCGTTGCAATGTTCACACATAACATTATCATCAGTTGTTGTAGATACACCCCGACGTAGATGCTGTACACCCAAAGAATTACAGCCAATTCTAAACTTTGTTAATAGACGTTTGTACTCCCACGGCATTTGAAGAGATAAATATTTTTCACAATCTAACAATGGTTTCTGAGTCTTATAAAATGTTAGTACATTTCAGTCTAAGGAGGCATGCCATTCTTGCAAAGAACATTTGTACACTCTTTCTTTAAACTTGGTAATACAACTTGGTAAAACTACGGTTATAACGAACTCAAAGGGACTACTAATTTTAGTTCGTTATAACCGTAGTTCGTTATAAGAATATATACAGTATAACTACAGCAAATAGTCGGGTCCAAAAAATAAGTTCGTTATATCCGTCAGTTCGTTATAAGCGTGTTCGTTATAACCGTAGTTTACTGTAAATAGCTTTCGATCACCTGTGAAATCCAAGCGATACCAAAGCCATAGGAAAATAATAAATTTCTTACATGTGTGGCCCAGTTGGTGCGTTTCCTATCAACAGTAGCTAAGAAAAAGAGATAGCAATTATATGGATATCTATTAAAATTTATAAGAAGCAATCTTGACCAATATTTAACACATTTTACAAAATAGATAGTGCACAAAGGAACTCTGTTGCATTCACCATATTCAGGAGCCTTAGATGATCTATATCCAATGTGTAACAATAATTTACAAAACTTTCGGTGGGCAATTTCTATGATTTCCCTTCTTTGGTAGCCCGAGATTTTGCAACCATTTAACAAAATGGGTACATTTTTCTTATCAAATAGGTAAAACGAATCTTAAGGAGTAAATTCAAGTCACCTGATCACGGATTTTACTGGCCACAGTGCTTTAGAAGCCTGTTCAGAAAGTGTTTTACATGCACTGGTCAAAATGGGTTTTGGCGTTATAACTAAGGCACCCTTCATGGGTGCAATGTGTGAAGCCCATTTCTGGTGTCCCCCGCCGTGATATTGGAAGAATATTGCTAAAAGCGGCGTAAAACACTACTCACTCACTCATAAACACGCAGAGTACAGGTAGTTTAGAATCCATCGTTAACGTTATTCATAAACATGGTGACTCACCCATGGAAGTAGTGAATACCAAGAGAGCCGCTTTGTTCTCTATTAACATCAACTAGATGCTTATAGTTATTTGCTGTGGATCAGATCCTGTGCAGCTGAACGACTACTGCAATAGGCCTTCCCAGTGCATCACCGCCATCAGCAACAGCTACTGCAGCAGCAACTACACCTGTGTCTGCAACGATGGGTACTTCCCAGATACAGACAGTAACGCCTGTCAAAAATGTAAGTTTTGACGTGAGCGTGTGCATGAAGGAATACTTATTTAAACGATTCATGACTCTCCTTACAATGTTCTGGTATGTTTGTATAACGTGAAAAGCTGTTGAAATGTTTCTGTTCGTAAGTTAGAGCGTCCTTCCAAACGTATTTTCCTCTAAATATACTGCTGAAGGAATGTTCCGAAACAGACATCAAGAAGAAGGCTTCTTACTCTTTAGTCGCACATGGCCTCATTAGCCTCCAAACAATACTCTTTAATCATGTTAGCATGTGCTGTTTGTTTTACCTTTAGACCCCGTGTTGTTGGGGGACAGATGCCTGGATGATTGGCACTGCAGCAGAACATTGAACCATTCGGAGTGCTCATCAATCCAGAACTGCTCCTGTGTGTATGGCTACACACCGGTCGAAAACAACACCCGTTGTGTTGAACGTAAGTAAATTAGGAGCGTTTTGTGTGTCAGAGGAGTTGGGTAAGAGGGAGGTGAGGTGAAATGGGGTTAACGTCGAGTTCAAGATTATTGCACTTATGTAGCGTCGTGCATGCACGTGTGTGTGGCTGCTTGTACTTGTCCGCACTGATGCCGATTTTATAGTGCTAGCCTACTGGGACACCATGCCGCAGTTTAACATGAATATCCCACTCAGGCATAACATACTGACCCCAAGCCGACCAGTCCTTGTTTAGCCCATAAATGTCAAGCGCATACAGGGTAACAACAAGTACCATCTTTTAACGTCTTTTGGTATGACGCCGCAGAGGTTCGAATCTCCTTGCGGACGCTCTACCACCAGACCACGGAGCGGTCTATTTGGGTAGGGTGAGACTGCTCCGGTTCTTGGTTACTGAAGTCCAAAAACTCATGTAATACTGATTTAGGTATATAGATACAGTTACATATGTTTAGTATGAACAGGGTGAGTGGATGCTTGTTGGAGGTAATTGAAGATTGGTCTCGCCCGGGAATTGTTGTTAGAGGCATGTCCTGGGTTATGGAGACGGATCAGTCCTGTTGTTTGTTTGTTTGTTGTTTTAACGCCGCACTCAGCAATAGTCCATCTATATGACGGCGGTCTGTAAATAATCGAGTCTGAACCAGGCAATCCGGTTATTGAGATCATGAGCATAGATCCACGCAATTGGGATACGATGACATGCATCAACCAAGTCAGCGAGTTTGACCACCTGATCCCGTTAGTCGCCTTTTACGGCAAGAATGGGTTGTTGAAGACCTATTCTACCCCGGATCTTCACGGGTCGAGTCCTAAGTAATGGAAGACTGGTGTGTTACGTGTCATGGGAGACTGGTCTGTTACGTGTCATGGGAGACTGGTCTGTCACGTGTCATGGGAGACTGGTCTGTTACGTGTCATGGGAGACTGGTCTGTCACGTGTCATGGGAGACTGGTCTGTTACGTGTCATGGGAGACCGGTCTGTCACGTGTCATGGGAGACTGGTCTGTTTACGTGTCATGGGAGACTGGTCTGTTACGTGTCATGGGAGACTGGTCTGCTCTGGGTAACCGGAGATTGGCCTGTGTCGGATAATATGAGACATCGTGTGATAATTAGATTCCAGCTCTTCATCTAAAAGTTTGAAATACATTCACATATATACAGTCACGGTCTTTATTGCAGCGAGCGTTCTGCTGCATTGTGTATGAAGTGAAGGGCACTTAATGCACTACATGTTTGGATATATGAGAATATACACGATTTTAAAATTGTGTATTTTATGTTGAAGGTACAAACCACACCATACATTAACATTATACATGTGTCAGCCCACTCAAAACATTCGCAGTGCTAAAGAGTTATCTAAATAAGCCAAAGCTGAAGATTAGCAGCAGCGTTCAATGAATACCTCTTTCTGCCATCTGAGTGTAATATCCATTTGAAAACAGCGTGACAACTGTATCCAAACCAAAAATGTAAATGAGTATATTACCTGTCCGGCCATCCCTCAGACTGACAGCCATATGCTTACTGCACCGCCTAAGTGCATGTTCAACATTCCGAATATGACCATTTAGATCCATGTAGACATGGACTCATATGAAACGAGCGCAACACGTGTTCAAATTTATGGTGCGCTGTTTCATCCAAATGCCACGTCCTGAAGAATTTGACGTTAAACTCCATCAGTTTTTCACATAGATGCGCGCTTAATTGCAATGCGATTAGCGTATCACAGATGTTGCATTTGGTGTGGAGGAACCTATGTGTACATGAAGTCCATGTTATTTCCGGATGCAAACTACAACAAGCGTCTTGGTGTATTTAGCAGTTGGCTTATATGCGTAAAATAACACCTGGATATTATCAACAACACTGAAACGGCCACAACCCGCTGTTATACTAGAAGCACCTAGAATCTGGTTATAAAGAGGATGTAAAATGATACAGCCAATGGCTACGTTGTAATTGCATCGTATCAGAAGGGTTTGAGCGCCTTTGAATATTATTTTTTTTTGCAAGAAGATATTTTAATGGCTGACGTGTGTTTTTGAATACACTTTTTTCGAACTCTTTCCGTTATTAAATATGCTTATGATGATGTTTTAATGTTCTCACAGCTTATAACGATGTGTACATGTGTTGACCTGACTGACGTATATTAGTTGCACATCAGTGAGGATGAAGCAAATAAGTTCATCTTTTAAAATTATTTTTTAACGAAATTCAGAAAAAGCGAACTTGGTTCTTCGAAGGTCTGATAGCATTAATCACTGTGCACATCTCCAGCAGTTAGATTCCTTCTTTTAGGGTTTGAACTTAGGTGAACAAATTGGACCCGGTTGGGTCAAACATTAGTGATGCATTAGCTTAATATGACCGATAGAAGCTGTTAGTGTGAAAGAGTGAGTTGTGTTTATCGCCGCTTTGAACAGTGTTTCAGTTATATCACGGTGTGTCAGTTTACGTTGGAGGAAAGCCCGAAGCGATGCAGGTTTTATACGTTTACCACTTTAGTGAAACTCGCTAACCCGGATATGGTGCTGAAAAACCAAGAAACATAATTGGGGTGAAACTGGAATTCGAACACGCTACCATGGTTTGTGTCACGCCAAAGGAACACAACTCAGAGTTGACTGATGTATTTCAACTTCTTTTCTATTTCTTGACAAAAGAACCTTGTACCTGATCTATTACAAAAGGAGTAGACGACACGGGTAGCAGCATTATTTAGGCACCACTTTTGATTTGGGTCCCCTATGCGTGCCAGGAATCTGTGATCATAGGTTCGACTCCCGTTTCGCCTGATTATGTCTTGGTTTGTCAACACCCCTGCTCGCTGGTTCCAACAGTGTGTGACGTCTGAGACCTGCATCATTCATTTATCATTTCCTCCCTCTTCAAGATGACACACCGTGATATGCTAGTAATTTAAATAATGTTCACACTGTTGGAAGATGGAGATGGAGCGAACATCACTTCAGGAACCATTTTAGCCGTATTGCGGCGGGTACGCCAAAACTTTGATAAGCACATTAATAGTACCGATGAAGAGAACCGAGCCAGAGAGTGGAAGGTCGGTAGTTTGATTCCTGGCCGCTGTTTGTTACTCTGTCTGGCACTCGGCATTAGGTTGATAAAACTGGTTTTTTGTCTGAGTGGGGTATCCATGTTAAACTGCGGCATGGTATCTCGGTGTGCTAGAACAATACAAACGCACAAAGCTACACACACATACACCAACACAGAGCGACACACACACACGTGCATGCACTACGCTATATTAAGTGCAATAATCTTGAACGCGACGTTAAACCCCATTTCACCTCACCTCAACCAACCTGCCAGTTACCAGGTAGTTTACGTCATCACCGGTTTCTCACGGATGTATCAATTACAAAGTTGACATGTGTTTCAGCTTTATTTTATTTCTTGACAAAGGAACCTTAATTAAATACGTTATGCTTTGAACTTCAACACATAGACTGCAATCGCACCCAGGCAGACGGCGTCTGTGGCCTAAAAGACAGAGCATCTGCCCGCAGGGCGGTCGTGATTCGATTCCTGGCCGCAAGATTTTCTGATCACATTTGTAGGCATTGATATCTTATTTCGCTTCAGGTCCGCACATTCCTCCTTTTCACATTCCAACAACGTCTCCCCCGAGGCTGTGTGACCCGAGCGACCAATGGAAATGCAACAGCGACAACAACAGCATGTGTAGTTTGCCTTTGGGTCCTGTTCCGGTGACGAGCGGCATCTGTCGGTGTATGGCAGGATTTGCCTCCCCTTACAAAGATGAACCTTGCCAAGGTATTCTGCTGTATAGTACAGATATGTATTGTGTGTATTGTAATGTCTTATTGTGTCCTACAATACCATGGGTGCGTGAAACTCAGAGTTGCAAAATGATATAAGGATAGTGTATCCAAATCTGTATATATATATATATATATATATAATTATATATATGAGAATTTGTTGATTCTACTTCCGGAATCGACAGCTTTGAGTGATTTCTCTTGATTAGAACATGTTATGTTACGTTGAACATACTTTCACTATGATTTTGCATTATGAGCTATAGTTGCGTCGGGTTTATTTGTTTAAAATGCACGTTCAGAATGGCAATTGAATTCCTAGCTCAGAATCAACTGTAAGACCAATAGTATGACTTCATCATAATGGTTTAGCATGATTAAGCTGCCGTGTATTTTTGGGTATTGCTGAAATAGCACTGTACTATGTTGTGTATAAATAAACACACGGCCAAAAGAAAAGTTACCAACGATAGTTCTAGGATAAAATATGACCAGCACAATTTGAAGCAGCAATAACAATTGTATTGTAGAAATTCATCATTCAGAACAGTAAAATGCGAATTTACTAATTCATCAACAAAGTCCTTGACCTCCAACAGGGACATTTCTTGACAAGGGGTCATTCGTCCAGTATTCGATCAACAACATTGGTTACAACTTTAAGGTGACGACGGCCAAGACCGTTCAATACGGGATATGACCTCCATGAGCGGCAATGCATCTTCGAATGCGGCGTCGAACTGAGTAGACAAGCGTCCTTACATCGACTGCAGGTATCCGATTCCATTCCTCACGGAGGGCAACGACCAACGCTTGTCTCGTGAAGGGAGGATGTTGACGTTTCCAAAGACGACGCCCCAGCTGGTCCCAGAGATGTTATATGGGTGACAGATCTGGTGATCGAGCTGGCCACGGCAGGACAGTCACTTTGTTGGCGTTGAGGAAGTCTCTAGTAATACGGGCTTTATGGGGTGTGACGTTATCTTGTTGGAACACCGTCTGTTGATGACGCTGGATGAAAGGAAGAACCACTGGCCGTAAGATATTGTCAATGTAGCGTTGTGCTGTCAGATTGCCTTCGATGATGACAAGTTCCGTCTTCTCGTCCCCGCAAATGCCGCCCCAGACCATCACACTTCCGCCCCCGTAAGGTTCCACCTCCTGGACACAACAAGGAGCCGTACGTTCACCACGTCGTCGATAAACTCGCGTCCGCCCATCAGGTTTGAAGAGTTTGAACCTGCTCTCGTCACTAAACAGCACTAGATATCAGACGCATTGAGCAGGTTGCCAGCGCCTGACTCAGGGAAGCCTATGGAAGACATGACAGTCTTAATGCTTCAGGAATTGGACACGTGCCCTCTGAAGTCTAAAGACATAAGTATCCAGACTGGCAAGGACCGAACATTGTCTATTGTTCGAGAATTTGTGATCCGAGGTTGGCCGCAGCGTGATAAGTTGGATGACCACTATGAGCCGTACTACAGAGTTCGTTCTGAACTCAGTGTGATGGATGGATGCTTATTGAGAGGTTCGAGGGTCATCATTCCATTGAAACTCAGATCTGTCATATTGTCAGAGTTGCATCAGTCCCACCCAGGAATCACCAGGATGAAGGGCTTGGCCCGAAGCTATGTTTGGTGGCCGCATCTAGATGCTGACATAGAAACAACAGTAAACAGTTGTGATTCCTGCCAGGAAGACAGGAATTGTCCGAGTGTAGCTCCCCTACACCCTTGGGAGTATCCTTCTCAACCTTGGCAAAGACTGCATATGGATTATGCTGGTCCATTCATGGGTAGCATGTTTCTTATAGTGATTGACGCCTACTCCAAATGGATCGAATGTGCACCTATGTCGTCGTCAAATGCAAAGGCTACCATAAACCAGCTGCGTCGGATGTTTGCAGCTTATGGCATACCAGAAATTATTGTAACTGATAATGCTACAGCTTTTGTTGGGGAAGAATTTGCCAAAGTTTGCTGAGTTTGTCTGCACCGCGTCAATCTGGCACGTCGAAGTTGACGGGTCAAGGTCATGCCTTTGAAAGGGCGATAAGCCCGGAGACCATAATGTCGTAGTCGTCTGGTCACTGTTTGTCTGCTGACCGGATGTCCTAAGCTGTTGGTAGCTGATGACGTCACAGTAAGAAATCTGTTCCTCAGATGAAGTACCCGTAAATAGCGGTCATCCTGCGGGGTCGTGACCTTTGGTCTGCCACTCCGTGGTCTGTCTGCGGTTCTGCCAGTCTGTCGGAGACGTGCGACCAGTCTGGTAATGGTCATCTTGGAGCAGTTCATGTTAATGGCAACCGCTCTCTGTGTCGCTCCCATCTGCAGCATACCTATGGCTCTCTCCCTCTGGACAGCGGTCAGTCTTGGCATGTTCGTTGGTGTTAATCATCGCAACCAATGATAGGGAACAGATCCGTGCGTAATTTATACCCGGAAATTGCACGATAATTTGGGAAAGAATGTTTTAAAAAATTGCTGAAAAACACCAATATCTCCCAAAATCTGCAAAGCCTGGCAAAGAACGACAGAGAACATGAAGTCTGTATTCGTGAGATGTGTTCTTTACTGTTTTTGAACAGGTTGGCATCTTTGTTTCAAAGTGGCAAATCAGTTAATGTTGGTAACGTTTCTTTTGGCCCTCAGTTTATATATAACTATTAGAATAGTCGTGGGTTCACCCAACCAGTATGATCAAATGAGTTCCTAATGTTTACATGACATTTGTTTTACGGATAAAAATTTCTGAACAAAGAAGTTGTTATCTATGTTCTTCTAACATCCAAATGCCTATCAAAGACTTGAGTTTGTTATGGTGATGCTATTCGTCTGTATCCCACATCGAATAAAGATAACGAGACAAACGATTTTGTCTATAAAAATATATATCTGGTTAGTCTCACAGCGCATATTATTTTGAAACCAAGCATGAAATTGAAGGTTTCTATCAGAACCTTGCTAAAATAAACATAGTACCAGACAATATCGATTCCAACAAAAACTGCAAAGGCTTATAACGGCACAGACATGCCAACTTATGTTGCAATAATCGACTTTGTTAAGAGTTTTGGCATATCAAAACTCTCTCTCAACACATAGACATATCTAATAGACAACACATTTGCTACACGTGCTTCAGCGTGGAGCAGGATAAATTTAAAATAGCAGCAACCTGATGCGGCGCTAAATAATATTCACTCACTTACCGTATGGACGTTCTGAGAGAGAAGTTTCAACTTCTGTACACAAAGGCCGGTGGTCTATATGTATCGGAAATAAAATGATAAGAGAGAACTTTGACGTAGCATCTACAGTAGCTTAGTATACGGGGCATCGGAAAAGTGATTCACACATTGTACCATGCATGGAATCGAAGCTGGCTCTTTGGCGTGACTTGAGATGATGTAACTACCCGACACCAGAGTGCTTCACTGCCATTTTAGCTAGAAAACACGGATGCATTTCATTAGTTGTAACAAGGGTACCCGATGGGATTAAATTACTTTGCTCTCCGGGAACGCTTGGTAGTTTGCTAATAGAAATCCTTTATCATGGAAATTATATATAAACTATATATTAGAGGTTGTACTATATTACGTGTTATTATTCCATGAAATATAAAAATGGGCTTGAAAAAACAAAAGGATTCTCATTCTATATATCATTAAAGGGAAGGACAGACTGAAGTGAAAGGCGTTATAGGAAGGCAGGAGTTGACAAGGATGTTACTGCTACACTGTGTAAAGCACAAAACCCGTTCCATAATCATAAGAAAGAGCCCTGAGCATGTGTTTATGAATCACCATTATATAAAGTGTTGATACAGCAAAAAGGTGAGTGTATCCTGCTTTAGCTGTGGCACACGTCATAAACACATGCAAAGGCAAGTCAAGTTGTCGCCTGAACAAACACGGGGACACATGGTTCAAGTCAAAATAGGAAATTGCCCTAGACTTTATTTTGTTCAACGATGCGTCAAATTTTTAAATTGTACTGAGCTGTACTGAGGCTTTGATGATGTGACCCTGATCAAACAACTATGACGCATGACGCTATTTGAAATCTAGAAACAACATGCTCCATTGTACCTAAAAATTATAAATTGCAATATAAGATTGTGTTTATGAGTCACAACCAGAGTGATGACACCAGGTGTTCACAAAAAGTTAAACCTAACACCTCCCCGAACCTGGTGCCATTGACATTACAGAAATGATTTGTGTATATGAGGTTTTTTCTCCATCCTCTATATTTACCGGGCTCGCATTTCGGTAAACCTACAATAACCCCTGGATCCACACTCGTGGTTCTTTCAATCGCAAATTACCCGCCCTTGATTTGCAATAACAGTTCACCGACAAATCAAACGTCGACATTAGAGAAAGGGAAAGGGGAAAGGGTAAGGGAGGTAACACGAAGACATCCTTTCCATCCAAAAGATTTTTGAGGACTTTCTTTTGCCTCTCAGTCGGTTTTTCAGTTTTGAATTTCTCGCAAAATCGATCATAATCAATGAGATTGGCCAAACCATCATTAAGGCCTGTTTGTGACTCGAATTCTGATTGGTACGTTAAACCTAGTAGCGTAGCCAATCAAATTAGCAAATGGAAATCAAGGGCGGGTAATTTGAGATTGGATCCAAGGGTCAGTGTACGTTTACCGAAATGCGAGCCCGGTAAATATAGAGGATGGAGACAAAACGTCATGTACACAATTCATTTCTGTTATGCTAGTCCTGGAGATATAGAGGATGTTTTGTCCCTTGGATGTACATTTTACTGTTATTTGTTACAGCAACCCAGTCCTATCACGTCTCATTAAACATTACCATGGAGGCTGGCACATATGATTACCTGCCCATCACATTCCACCCTAGTCTTGCCAACAGAAGCTCTGATCGCTACAACGAGATGAGGTCAAGGATAACCTTGGCAGGGGTGAGTAGAAAGCGACGTCTATTCGTCTTTTCCCCTCGCTATCATCATCGTCGAAGTCATCATCTTTTACTATTACTATTATTATCAGAACCAATTATAGTATATTACTATATTATGATAATTATTCATTAGCAATAACAATAGAAATAATCATAAGTATAAAAATCGCGATCACGTATGAGGCCATACAAGAGTTGACCGCCTCTGTTGTCTGCCCGGAGAGCGGAAGGTCGGTGGTTCGATCCCCGGTCCTGACAAGTACGAGTAGCCACACACACACATGCATGCACGTCTCAATATAACTGCATTAATCCTTAACACGACCTTACACCCAATTTCACCCCACCTCCCCATACAATAGTGAATATTCAATAATGACAGCGACGGAAGCTCCTTTATCCTACATATCGAAGGTGAATAGCGTTTATTGTCATGTTTATAAGTATATTCAGAAAATAACAATCAACAATGATATCTTAACTCGACAAACCATGTCATTTAAGATTGCTTTTAAGATTATTGATATTTGGTGGTTATATTGGATTTATGCAAATGAATGAGTATTCTTCATGTATCATTGGGACTGTTTACCCCAATGTAGAAGTTCAAATCACTCAAATATGTCATCAGAGACCAACGGTGTATTGATATTCTATGTCTAGCCATCAAACTCTTGGCGGCCATCTTGGAATGTTGGGCCACCAGGGGGTCTGGTGACAGAGTTTATATCTAAAAGTGTTAACTATACGTCAGTGAGTTAGTGTGCCAAGTTATATGCATATAAGTCCTAGCACTCTGTTTTAGATTTAAAAGATTCAACAGTGTAAACACATGAAGGAAACTTGTCGGCCATCTTGAAATTGGCAACCATCTTGAATTTTTGCAGATTTGTCAGTAGTCGAAAACGTTCAGTAGTTGTGAATACCTTTTTAGAAACATAATATGGCTATTTCGCAATACAACACATGTTTTTTTTCATCAAAACATGAACCTCATCTGAAATATGGAAGATATATTGATAATTCGTGGCCATATTGGATGATGCAAATTAGACATATTTCCCAAATTAGGATTGCTTGGGACTTTTAGTATTTTGTTTTCGGGACCTTGTAGAAATGCATTGTGGTGAAATAAATTCTGTTGCAATTTGTTCTAAATGACACCTTTCTTTGCCTGGACTAATAGTTCATTTCACAAATTAAAAAAAACCAAGCATGATTTAATTTCCTTTGAGGGAAATTACTATACCTTATAATGATGAAACTGATATATAGTACGACTGATATTTATTTATGTGTTTGTACAGCTTGACAACATATTTCTCAACGCCTCCCTACCCTCCAAGTACCTGCGCAGTTCGCTGCTTAATATCACCGATCTCCATCCGGGTCTTAATGTATCCGCGGTTGTACAGGTGACAGCCCGGAAGTACAACCCAATGCAGCCACAGCTTATCGAAGATTGGTTGGTTCTATTGATAGAAAGGTAACACATATCACACGGCTTTGTTCCACAATTATTAGATTCAATAATAATCAAATTATGTGTGTTCATGTCAATATGAATGAGTAAAATATAATAATTTCAAAAATTTACCAAAGTATTAATATTTACTTTCTATTTCGAAAGTCAGTCAGACTTCAATAGATTGTTGCCTCCGTGGTCTATTGGGTAGAGTCTGCCCGGAGAGCGGAATGTCGATGGTTTGATCCCCAGCTGCGTCATACTAAAAGACGATAACAGTTGGTACTTGGTACACTGCCTGGCGCTCGGACTTTGTGGCGTGAAACAAGGAGCGTTCGGCTCGGAATCAGCATGCTGTGTCTGAGAGGGATGTTCATGTTAAACTGCGGCATGGTATCTCAGTGGGCTAGCATTATAAAACCGGCATCTTTAAACGTCTTTTGATATGACGCGGCCGGGATCGAACCACCGACCTCCTGCTCTCCAGGCAGACGCTCTATCCACTAGACCACGCTAGCGTTTTTTTTAATTATGAGACTGATAAGACCTTAAGCCTTATCAAGGTGTATTGTTTACACGTTATGATGACGAAATATCCATTTGTGATACCATTACACTACTTTGCCATGGAGGCGGTGGATTGGCCAAGTGCAAAAAAGCGCTTTCTCGCCACGTTTGATGCCCAATATTGGTACCACGTGTGAAGCCCATTTCCGGTGTCCCCCGTTTGGATATTGGTGAAATATTGCTAAAACCTCATTCACTCACTCACTCTCTTTGCCATGTAATATGGAAGATGTAATTCTTGTCTCAATCCTGTTACTCCAGGTCTAATGGCGAATTGGGACAAAGTCGGTTAAAAGTTGGCACACCTTATTTTAGCCATGTTAAAGTCAAAGGTAAGTTCTATCAAGGAGGGAAAGATATGAATGTCATGTGTATTAATTGTAGGGATAGTCTGTCATTCGAAAGATACTGCTCAAAGAAGTTAAGGATTAACTATGGTAATATGAAAGATTCGATTGTTCCTTAATTTCTTTCAAGTAGTTTATAAACATTGATGAAATCGAGAAATCAAATAAATATGTAAAGAATACTACACGATATCATGATATAAATGTTAGCAAGACGGTTTGTATGTCCAAAGACAATATCGTCTAAGAAGAGTCAAGTGATCTGGTTGTCTGCTACCTAAGGCTGTACTCATCGGTTGGCTCAATACAGTACCTATAATTACCTACTTTCATTAGTATTAATTTCCAAATTCTTTAGAATGAACATCAATCTTCTTTTCAACCGCACAGAAGAAATGTGTTTTGAGACTTGAGCATTGCTCAGCAAAGAGGTTTTTGTAAGGAATCGACCACTTGATATCTAGGGACGAGTTTGGTGGGGGTGGGAGAAAACTGTTGTTTGTCTTGAAGAAACGACAAGAACTATAGGGAACGGTTCCATTTGTTTATATGAAGGGTCTGCTTAAAGACTTCACCGTACTGTCGTTTACAGACCTGGATGAGTGTAGGCACAGCGACTACAACGACTGCCACTCCGGCTCCTGGTGCATCAACACCCTCGGGGGCTTCCTGTGCGTCTGTAGGTCAATCTACGATGACGACTCCAGGAGACTGGGACTCAGGATGGGCCGAAAGTGTATAGGTACATGTAACAACAAATTGTCCTGTACGTGAACACACATGGAAACACTGTCCGCTGACGCAGTGTATAATTACTAAGTCTTGTGTTTGTTGCAATATTCCAGCTGTATGACGGCGGTCAGTAAATAATAGCATCTGGACCAGACAATACAGTGACTGACATCATGAGCATCGATATTCGCAATTGGGATACGATGACATGTATCAGCAAAGTCAGCGAACCTGACCATCCGATCCCGTTAGTCGCCTCTTGCGACAAGCATAGTAGCCAGTTACGGCAAGCATGGGTTGCTGAAGACCTATTCTCTACCCGGGTCTTCAAGGGTATAATTACTTATGAAACCATCATAATACGGTTAAATGATATAGGCATATTGGGTATGCAGCGCCTGGGCGTAACAAAATTAAAGGTCAGGCCCGTTCCACGAAGGGACCTTAGCGCTTCGACTGCCATACGTTATGGTAAAGTACTGGAGTTACGTTCGTCTTAACGCTACAATCGCTTCGTGAAACAGGGCTCACTTGCACAAAGCGATCTTAGCGCTACGACTCCGTAGGCCCATGTTAAACCATGGGAGTTACGAAAGACTTAGCGCTAAGATCGCTTTGTGCAAATCGACCCTGAGGGCCCTGGTCTTATTCCGCCTCTTTGGGGATTCTGGTTCAGATTAGGGTCCCCAGTACCTCATGCCGATTATTGGAGAATCTGTTGTTGAGTCTCTGTGACTTGGATGATTGTGTGTCATCATACCCGGAGCGTTGCTCTCAGTCACGGGTTTGCCTATCCAGATTGGCGTATTTTCAAGCCCCGTGATAAAGTTGCAATATGGCTGACTGCAGCGTGAAGCAACTTACCATCTCAACGCCCGCGATAGTTTGTTTACACTATGTGAAGTTTCGGTTACTGGAATCTATCATGGAAAGTTTGCAGGTTTTGGTCAGGCAGACGTTTTAGTTAACCGTCCAACACTTAGCTTGTAGTGGTGATTTACGCTTCAGTCACAAATAATCCTGACTGAATGTAATAATCATTTGTAAGTCAGCGTAAAGTAATGATACTGGTTAGGCTAAGAAACATGTCCCTACGTCAGTCCAATTAATTTCACCATACCTGTATATGAGAAAAGGATTCGTTTAAGGGATTTGAAATATGTATAAATAATTGACCACTTTAGATAAAACACATTTTGGGACCTTACATTACAATAACATTCCCGAGAGTTCGAATTCATACGTTACGTTATTATTTAACGCGAGCTGATATGAAGTAATCCTGACTGTAAGATCGTTGTTTTGATATCATAAATAGTATTCTCAGACCTAAAGCTCCTAAAGAATTAATCTGCTTCCAGAACCAACGACGGCGGAACTGCATCAAGAATCGTAAGTACTTGTAGGAAAATTGTTACATGCAAATACGTAACTAAACAAACGACGAAGGAGAGATTGTGCATGTATATCCCGAATTTAAGGAATGCAGTAAAGTAACAGTATTTAGATTTACTTTCACGTATTATCATCATCATCATCATCATCACCGTCGTCGTCTCATCATGTTCGCGTTAAACAAGAAACAAACAAACAAACAAAACGTCTCATCATGTTCAATATTATTATCATATTATTAAATGTTCTTATTGCAGCTGCGGAAGTGATAACTGTAAGACCAACTGGGAATGTAAGTGACACATTATGTTTCAATCATACCTTTTCTGGTACTGTCATATTCACTAAGGTGCAGCAATTTGCTATGCAGAGTTACATACCTTAGTCGTAGCAGGATCCGACCATCATAGGTTCGAATCACGATTTGACAATAATTATGATCGATCCTTGTTGTGGCATCATCATACCTGTGCTCGTAAGTCCCGCATCACTTCAGGTTTTCCACCAATGTTAAGACATTCTGCCAACAAACTATCACAAAAAGAGGCGTTTTACCCCACTCATTCATCTGTCCACTGTTGGTCCATTGTTTGGTAGCACGATGGGGTACCCTATAATCCGTCAACCACCATTGTGGCATGCGGTTTTTCACAATTATTTTCCATTAAATCCGCAATCACGCGACGAAAATTGGTTATTATCTGATAATAATCGTTGACTTAACTAGAAATACCAGTTTTGTTCTTTTTCATGTCCGAATAAAAATGTTTTCTTCATTGTTAATATCATGTAATTTTGTGACTGTTGACATGGCCCTGTGGTGGGTACTAAGAACAGACGATTTAACAATGACAATATGTGTTTAACATGCTTGCTGCCAATCTCATTAAAATCAGATCTTTGTTCCTGCTACCGCTAAACAAAGATCAGAGTACATCATATTACAGGTTACGTCAGAACGATCTTTCGCGAACTTTGACCGACCAATGAAATGACTATTAGTAACAAGAAGTCGACCTGAAAGCAAAGTTGACTCTAAGTAGGCTCTATCAGACCATATCCGTGACAGCCCCGGCCACAGTATCCAGTGGGACAAATTCAAAACCCTTACAACAACCTCAAAGACTTAAAACTAAGAAAACTCCAAGAAGCCATCAACTTCAAAAGACTCCAACCATCAATGAACCTGATCAAGTCTACTACATACCCCCTGCGTACCATCAACTAATCAAAGACCCCCATCAGTCATACTCCCTTTATTTATGCTACTGGCTTCACCTGTCAGATGTTTACCTTGTATCACCCCTTTTGTGTACATAACCGGCTTCCCCACGCCAGTGTAACTACATTTTACATCCCCATCTTCTCATCTACTCTACTGTATAAACACTGCCTCCTACCTGTATACATGCTTGTCAACCATACTCTGTACATCACTTGCTTCATAACGGTGTTAGAATCTACACCGAAACGTCGCTACTATTTGTAATAAAGAAGTGGGTCATCCATAACTCTTATCCTTACTTCGTCCTCCAACTTCTAAATGCCTCTCAAAGAGGTTTTGACAAGCAGGAATTGCGAGATATCATTCCACATACCGTTATTTATTTAGATACTACGATGACTCAGACATTGAACACGGATTGTCCGACGAGTGCCCATCTGATGTAATGTCCTGATTTTCAGATACTCGGAAGGTGTTTTAATCAACAATTCTGGTATAATATTCAGGCATTCCTATCTATCAGAGTGAAAAAAATATAAGCCCAGCGACCACACCTTTACCGGTATTGCAACGAGAAGAAAATGATGAACAACAATAATTTCAGCGCATGTTACATTTATATTATGTTCTATGTCTATTTGTAAAGTTTTCATATTTATATGATTATTAGAGCAAGCAAGTCCAAGTATCGATACGTGGTATTATTGCCAACCTGAGCATGATGGCCTGCCAGGACTTGTGTTTTCGGTAAAGCCAAACGTGTGAATGTATTATGGCGAGGGATTTGACTCCAATTGTTTTCCAATTCCCACCCACTATATTTACTTCTTGAAGTATGGAATAAAATAAATGTCTTTCGATTTCTTTCACATCACAATATGCAATTGCCCTACAATAAACACAAAGGGCCAATGGTGAAAATAGGAATTAAAAGCAACCCGCAATCGCCACTAGATCTACACCTTGTACAGGAATATAGCACGTTAATGACATTCATCAAAGTTAACATTTCCGTGAAGATAAATATGTAATACAATCGTTGTCAGTCAAAGTTCCGTAGATATGTTCGTTATTCTATATTTATGACGCATTAGAAATCTTGCCTGCTCTCCACCTACGCCAGTGTCCGCCATTTTGTCGCGCGCATTACGTTCCAGAACTGGTGCCAATTCACCATTGTAAGCGCTTGTCACGGAAACAGCTTTATGATCTATCTATTTTGTTTTCACTTCTCATAGCGAAATTCCTCACATTATATGGATGGTAATGAGACCAGTTTTTCTTCACTTCACTCCGATAGATAGGAAGGCCTGATATTAAGTTTTCATTTGCTAGGCAGTTTCAATAAAAGTTCCGTTCAAAAGTCATTTTAATTTATTTATATGACTTTGAGACATTCCTTCGCCATCGGGGTGGATATAACTATGACCTTGGGCCATTCATGTAGCAAGCATGTTTGACACCCATTATTGTCATTGTTAATCGGTTGTTCTCACAGGGCCGTGTCAGCGGTCACAAAATTACATGATAACAATGAAGAAAATATTTTTCTTCTATGAAATATTCCAAAATGGTATTTCTAGTTAGGTCAACGATTATTATTAGATAATAACCAACTTCCGTTGCGTGTTTAATGGAAAATAATTGTGAAGAACCGGGTTACAAAATGTTAGTTGATAGAATATAGTGGTGAAAGCGTTGGCTCGTCACGCCAAAAGCCCGGGTTTGAATGCCCACATGGGTACGATGTGTGAAGCCCAGTTCTAGTGTACCGCGCCGTTATATTGCTGAAATATTGCTAGAAGCGGCGTAAAACCATACTCACTCACACATTAAGAAAGCAATAGACAACCAAGTGGAGGAAACATTTATATAGTGAGGAATTCTGATGTTTCATTTCAAGGTTTCTTCACAGAGGTATCGATGTTTCAGGCACTGCCATCAAATGCCTTGCTTTGTATACTCAATACGATAATTAACGTTCATTAACGTCTTTGGAAGATGATAAGCTCATCGTAACAACTTTCACAATAGTAGATACGTTTGTTGTGCTTCATCAACATTCCGCATGGATGTATTGACAGTTGTTGGTCTCACCTTGGCTGCCTTCTTCCTCGTGTTGCTCTTCCTGATTGTGTATGAAATAATTACACGGAAAAGACAAATGACAGCCAGGTAAGTTTATATCAAGGGGTTCCTGCCCCCTGTCTTACTTAAATGGTTGCTTGCTTTATTGTTTAACGCCGCACTCAGCAATATTCCAGCTATATGACGGCGGTCTGTAAATAATCGAGCCTGGACCAGACAATCCAGTGATTGATATCATGAACATCGATCCACGCAATTGGGATTCTTACGTAAATGACAACGATTGAGAAAGTTGAGTTAATAATTACCCAATTTTCCCAAGAGAAATATTTATGTTTCAAACTAGGCACTAGTTTCAAGACCTATTATAAGACGCGTCGATAAACCTTGCGCTATAGTCTCTTTTTAACTACAATATCGACCCTTGGCCTGTCACAACGATTAGCTGAAGTTGACTTTTAAAGGATAGACCTGGGTTTTCTTTGGAGGACAGATTTAAAAAAAGGCCTTTCATACTCTAAAAATAATAGTTGTTTTGCCTGCAAAGAAGGATATTTTAGAAGTTATGTTCCGAAATAAAGCTAAATTTGTTTTAGATTAAAACTTTTCAATACAGGTATTAGTCTGTCTTTGTTTTTAAAAACATTTTGTTTGCATTTTTTTCTTAATGAAAACACAATGTGTTTAAACATCAGGAATATCTCATTAACCCTTCTGGCAATGGGGTTCCTCCAAAACTATTAACACAGTACCAGTCAACCATGAATGACCTCCTATAAGCTCCGTGCAAGATCAACGTAAAAGTTGTTCGTGAGGCAGGGTAACCATTGGGATGCTTTGAGTAGTTTTGAAAATCGTTTTCATATGATGATTATGATATTTGATTACCTGAAAGGATAGTATAACGTACAGTAACCAAATATCACAACCAGTTTGGTTTGTGTTTTAATGATAACCAAGACAAATCCGAGTAATATGTCGCATTTTATTTCACAGGGAAGCATACATGAGATTTGGAAGAGCAACTCGGCAGAAGATTTTCCAACTGAGACGAATGTCACGTGATCTGGGTATCCGGGTCAAACAAAATGTTCGCCGGAAGTCGTCTGCGATGAGTACGATAGCAGAAGGTCAGGGTTTGCACATAGCCTCTGACCTTTATGGCGTAGGAGTAGTGGCGGCTGCAGGTAGTAGTAGGAGTATTGTAGAGGTGTGGCTAAAAGGTTCTGAGCCTAACTACGAAGGATGTAGAGTACACCCTTAACAGTTTGCATGTATTGAGAACAATATGTTCAAGGCTTACAGGCTACATTTGAACCTAATACAAAACCAGGTAGCATATTTCTGGGATCAATTTGACAAGGTATGATGAAAATGGACTAAATTGGCTACTGGTGCTGTCATCAAAGTATCTATACATCTGAAATTGCTAACTCCAACAGCCATCTATGCTGACATGGTGTCACCTTTTGGGGATTGATGCTCCTTGCTTTGCCATTGTTGAGAGGCAGAGAAGTTCAATAGGGGACGAGAGGTCATGGAACGTAATCCAAGATCAGGAAGTCTTTTAACTGCCACCGCTATGGGTTATTTTTTTAAGTACATCATATGATAATGATCGATGACTCACTCACATAGCCAATATAGTAGGCATATCTCATGAAAGAGTTGTCAACTGGGTATGACAAAGGTATCTCCACGTTTGGCTCCAAGGCTTTGGACTGAAACATTACAGGTTCATCATCTCTCGTGAGAATGTACACCGTTTTGAAGCAGATCCAACATATTTTGTTGCGCTATTTATAACCATGAGTCTTGCATTCAGCACTATCAGCCAGAGACAAAAATAGTGGAACATCTGACCTTTAATCCGAAGACAAATGCAAAGCCTGTTCCGTCAGCTTTCAAGGTGATGGCTTCGGTTTTCTGGCATTCCAAAAGAATCCTTTTGGTGGCCAATATGGCCAATACTATGCTAATCTGCTCACTTAAGGTATGTTGTTCCGCCAGGACAATGCACGTGTCTTTTGTCGCCATGGATGCAATGTAATACTGGCTTTGAAGTCATTGAACATCATCCGGATTCACAAGCATCTTTGGCAGAAGTGTGTGGACCTCGGAGGGAATTATGTTGAATTCCAAAAACGGATTCCATCCTAGTTAGCCTCAGAACGTTTCAGCCACCCCTGGTACATGTAGGCGTAGATGCAGATGAAAAGATTGAGTTCCTATTGCTTTTGTCCTATGCATTTGTCACCAAGGCTTTAATGGCTTGCGTGTTTGTAGTGCCAATCTCATTACAATTATCCTATTCCGATACAATACCGGTCTGAGTCAAGATCTGAGGAACCTCCAAGAAGGTCTCACCAAGGCATCTACATTCTCGAGTGCGCTAAGCATTACGATGTGATGGCTGTTTTTTTCTAAAACTTATTTTATCGGCTTTTTCCGAAAGTAAACGTTGCATTTGTTGTGGATATTTTATTCACTCTGTCATATATGGGCGCCACGACATTCCGAATCGTGGTGGTTAAGAATGAAGCCTTTTACGTTAGAAAGCTGACATCTGATTGGCTCAAAGACCCACGCTTCCTTCATTTAGATTGTAAGGTCAAAGTTCGTTCAGGGTTCAACTTACTTGACATTTTATGGCAGTGTCCTCACATCTGCACACATGGAGGTATTGTCTCGGAGTATAAGTTTTTAATGAGATCAATGTGCAGCAAACGTTTATTGGTACCGCTTTTGCAGCTGATATATAATTCTCTTGCATTGGAAACATGCACTGGACAAAAATAGCTTTCTTTCCACACTATTCCAGTAACATGTATCTGAACCTTGAATCGTGCTATTCTCTTAAAATATACCACATTTCAACATATTTCAACATATAGATTATGTCTAATTATATATTCCAATACAATACAACACATCACATCACAATAATAAAATACAAAACGGAAACCATACAATTAAGTACAATAAATATTATCCGAAACAGACAATACAATACAGCACGAAACCAATACAATACATACGAAACAATACAATACAATACGACAATATACAATAAAAATCCACATCTGGAAATATTCTTTGGAAAAACCCAATTCGATTCTTGATAACATTGACTTAGCTGCTAGTTTCAAGTTTGATACGAGCGTTCTTGTTAAGTTTGGGAAAAGAGTTTGTTCCTCATTTTTCGGAACATGGTTTTAATTTCGTCGGCAGAAATGATATTGGAATATGTGGCACAAGAAATAGAAGTATGGCTACATTTCATCTAGGTATGTGATTAATTTAGATATTTTGTCCTGTTGAAATATCATATATAGGAGGTGGCGAGTAACTTTCGAAAATTGTTGTACCAAACTATATATCAGATGCTGATTTTAAGGATGCTTTGCTTGCTATTACTAATACTGATGCTGAGAAAGCAACTATAGATCATTTAGCTATAGCCTCTGGTTTGCTGCCAATAACCCCTTAATGGGAACGTGGATAATATGTGGAAGTTGGGCAAGGACAAAACTCAATAACTAACGGATCCTTTACAATAAGTGTTTTGTTACAGAAGATGACTACTATAGAGATGATAGTGAGGATGTCTGAAGCCTCATCACCCACGACTAACAAGCTCAGGTACAACTCTCATCAGCCCTCAACAGCTCTCAATATGCTTACGAGCATTTACCAACAGGACCTGGGATCAACACGGATCACCAATGACTACACACGTGTACCTCAACCATCACCACCAAGCAGTTGTGTAGGGATATCTGATTTGGTATCAGAAAGCCGAATTTCATGTTGGCTATGAATCAATGACCCGTTGGCTATGCCTTTCTCAGACTGCAGCTTTTGACTTTTACAGTTATGCTTGCTCATTGGTGTATGATTCAGTCCCATGAGGATCGAGTCGTGACCTAGACTTGGTGCAGTCTCCAGAACAGTTTACGAGTCCTTTAAGAAGCGGGCCTTGGTTATAGTGAATAGCAATGATATGATAGCTGTACAGCTGGACTACAGTCCTCCAATGCTGTAGGTACAGAGACAGGTCACCTTTAAGGACTCCGTGTTCGCTTCATCAGCTGCATTTAATTTAAATATCGCATAACCCACTGTTAACAGTGTCCGCTTGATGAATCTCGTTGAGTCATACCTGAATCTACATGAACTGAGAAAAAGTGTGCTATACATGTACATGTATAGATAGATACCTCCAGGAGAGTGTCTGGCAACAACCAGTATTGTAATGTAGTGAAATCACGATTAGCCACTTCGTATAAGGACCGTGACATGTTGGCGATGGGAACTGTCGCGGAACAGCCTTAGTGCTAATCCCGTAACTCAACTGAGGTTATACTTGTATGTTTACCTGTTGTGTAATAACGTGATGCCTTGTGGCTGCTTTGTGTACTTATTTACCCAATGGGGTGTATGGTTGTCCATGTAACGGTTGTCCTGTTATTATTTATTTATTTATTTATTTATTTTACCTATTATTATTATTATTATTATTATTATTATTATTATTATTATTATATTAGTATTATTATTATCATTATTAATATTATTATTTTATATTATTATTATTATTATTATTATTATTATTATTATTATTATTATTATTGCCCGTGCAGCTCAGATTTTAAGGCCATATCGTAACGACGTTTTAGTGCATTTGTATATCTATACCCTACCGACATTTCAGAAAGAAGGTATAATTCAGTGGAACGGCCAGCCCATGTACAACTATATCATTTATATACAATGTCAAGGAGACAGAGTGTAACGGGTGACACGCACAGTGTAGTTTCAGATTGTACACCAGTAACAATGCATTCATTTCAGCTAAAGCCGAAAAGTTTCATATAAGAATTTGTCAGGAAATGGGATTATCTTTGCAAATCAATTTGATTCTTAACATCCAATTAAGATCACTGTAGCATTACCAGTTTGCTATAAACGCTATTAAGGAGAAAACACTCAAGTTTCAAACATAATAAAGATGGCCACATCAGATTTTTAGTCGATGTTCTGGTTAACAATGTATAGTTAATTTAGTGTCCTGGGGTCGATGGGATGGAAAGTGAACTTATTTTCAAAAGTATGGCCACACGTGTTCATTTATGCAAAAACACATTAATCCATGTCTTTTGTACATAATATGACCTTTATGTATGTATTCAATTAATAAACATGTTTCTATTATATTGTTCAACGGGCTGGACGACGGTTCATTATTTCCTCCGGTCCCTATAAGACAACGTTGTGGACCTGTAGACTCTGCATGGGTTCAGACGTGAGTACTTGTCCAACGAAAGAAGGAAATGGCATGTGGAAGCGATGATATTTCAGATTCATATTCCGGGAAAAACATTAATCAAAATTAGTATATCATTGGAATCTCCAAAGACATTTTGATATTGTCTTCCAGCTATGCAATGATTCTACAATAAATGTATTTGTTGCTGTCTTATCGCCCCCTCAAACTTCATGTGACACTTTGTAAATACGACAAGGGAAGCAACTCTGACAATACTCATGATGCAATGTTAACGGTATTTTACAGTGCTGGTGTCTTCTGTCCAGTCCGTTCTTACTATTCGCTTTACCTAATGTAACAACAGGCTGCGTTTTATTTCAGCTTCCGAAATTTGATCATTTCTTTTAATACGGAAGGTCTATATTAAGCAAAATGCGTGACAAAATGTCACACCTCGATCGTCAAGAAGATAACAATGTTATTTCATTTCTGATTACGGTACAGTCAATTATTTTAACTCACAGTCACGAAGCTATGTCAATATTTAACACTATGGACAATCTGAAGTGAAGTGTTTTCGCGAACACCTGGTGTCATCACTGATTTTCAGTGATCCATTTTTACCGTTATTTTGCCTTTCAGGACTAATGGAATAATCGGCGGATAATCGAGACTGGCTATCTACCGTTGACTTTTTATATTCATTGTATCCAGTGACGGGAAGTGACATTTCTGCAGTTAAGAAAATATGATATCTACATAGTATCTACAGTAACGATTTGCTGCTCTGTAAACATTACGCCGTTTTTTAGTGGACAACAAATAGTTACTTTATGAGCATTCTGAGTCAAATGCATAAATCAAGTTCTACTGAAATAGAATATATCATAAATTAGATCGAATTATCTTTCCACTTACCATGTAAAATGTTGATACAAGACGGTACATTATATTATTTCATAATCACTCGAATGATAAAGTTTGTATATATTTGACAAGAAGGTGTGCCAGTCCCCCGGATCGTCAGTTTTCCAATTGCGAAGACCAAAATGCATTGCCTGATACTTATTTCATATATGTCTAGAAATAATCTTTTTTCACCATTTTTTGAAGTATACAGGAAATAGATGGGGAATACAGAGGATGAATTAGAAATATTGGTGTGGGGTTGGGGAATACAGGATATGGATTTTGTATACCGGAATTGGGATGAAATATAGGAGATATATCAACATTTTAATACAGGAGATGGATGCGAAATACAGGAGATGGATGGGGAATACAGGAAATGGATTGGAATACAGGCGGTGGATGGGGAAGACAGGAAATGGATGGGGAATATAGGAGATGATGGGGAATACAGGAGATGGATGGGAATACAGGAGATGGATTTGAATACAGGGGATGGTTGGGGGAATACAGGAAATGGATGGGGATTACAGGAAATGGATGGGAAAAACAGGAGATGAAATTTGTATACCGGAATTGGGATGGGGATTACAGGAGATGGATGGGAATACAGTGGGTGGATTGAGAATACAGGAGATGGATGAGGAATACAGGAAATGGATAAGGAATACACTAAATGGATGGGGAATACAGAAAATGGATGTGGAATACAGGAGATGGATGGGGAATACAGGGGATGGATAGGGAATACAGGAAATGGATAGGGTATACAGGAGATTGATAAGGAGTACAGGAGATGGATGGGGAATACAGGGGATAGATGGGAATACAGGAGATGGATGGAGAATACAGGAGACGGATGGGGAATACATGGGATGTACCGGGAATACAGGGGATGGATGGGAACACAGGGGATGTATGGGGAATACAGGGGATGGATGGGAACACAGGGGATGTATGGGGATTACAGGGGATAGATGGGAATACAGGGGATGGATGGGAATACAGGGGATGGATGGGAATACAGGAGATGGATGGGAATACAGGGGATGGATGGGAATACAGGGGATGGATGGGAATACAGGGGATGGATGGGAATACAGGGGATAGATGGGAATACAGGAGATGGATGGAGAATACAGGAGACGGATGGGGAATACATGGGATGTACCGGGAATACAGGGGATGGATGGGAACACAGGGGATGTATGGGGAATACAGGGGATGGATGGGAACACAGGGGATGTATGGGGATTACAGGGGATAGATGGGAATACAGGGGATGGATGGGAATACAGGGGATGGATGGGAATACAGGAGATGGATGGGGAATACAGGGAATGGATGGTGAATACATTGGATGGGTGGGAATACAGGGGATGGATGGGGAATGCAGGTATACGGTCCTTACCGGAATAGATGGTAGGGATGGTGAATACAGGGGATGGATGGGAATACAGGCGGTGGATGGGGAATACAGGAGATGGATGCGAAATACAGGAGATGGATTGGGAATACAGGAAATGGATGGGGAATATAGGAGATGATGGGGAATGCAGGAGATGGATGGGAATACAGGGGGTGGATTGGGAATACAGGCGATGGATGAGGAATACAGGAAATGGATAAGGAATACACTAAATGGATGGGGAACACAGGGGATGGATAGTGAATACAGGAAAATGGATAGGGAATACAGGAGATGGATTTGAATACAGGGGATGGTTGGGGGAATACAGGAAATTGATAAGGAATACAGGAAATGGATGGGGAAAACAGGAGATGAAATTTGTATACCGGAATTGGGATGGGGATTACAGGAGATGGATGGGAATACAGTGGGTGGATTGAGAATACAGGCGATTGATGAGGAATACAGGAAATGGATAATGAATACACTAAATGGATGGGGAATACAGGAAATGGATGTGGAATACAGGAGATGGAAAGGGAATACAGGAAATGGATAGGGAATACAGGAGATTGATAAGGAGTACAGGAGATGGATGGGGAATACAGGGGATAGATTGGAATACAGGAGATGGATGGAGAATACAGGAGACGGATGGGGAATACATGGGATGTATGGGGAATACAGGAGATGGATGGGAACACAGGGGATGTATGGGGAATACAGGGGATAGATGGGAATACAGGGGGTGGATGGGAATACAGGAGATGGATTGGGAATACAGGGAATGGATGGTGAATACAGGGGATGGGTGGGAATACAGGGGATGGATGGGGAATGCAGGTATACGGTCCTTATCGGAATAGATGGTAGGGATGTCATACACCCTCACTGTGGAGGTCATACGCCCTCAACGCAATGATGTAATACGGCTTCACCACTGTTATCATACGTCATCCCAGTAGTTGTATCACACGCCTTCACCATAGTTATGTCACACACCTTCACCGAAGGTATGTCACACACCTTCATCATAGTTATGTCACACACCTTCACCATAGTTATGTCACACACCTTCATCATAGTTATGTCACACACCTTCACCATAGTTATGTCACACACCTTCATCATAGTTATGTCACACACCTTCACCATAGTTATGTCACACACCTTCATCATAGTTATGTCACACACCTTCATCATAGTTATGTCACACACCTTCACCATAGTTATGTCACACACCTTCATCATAGTTATGTCACACACCTTCATCATAGTTATGTCAGACACCTTCATCATAGTTATGTCACACACCTTCACCGTAGTTACGTCACACGCCTTCACCATAGTTTTCGCACGCCTTTACAAGAGCTGTGTCACACATCTTCACCATAGTTACGTCCTGCGCCTTCACCATAGTTTTGCCACACACCTTCACCATAGTTGTCGCACGCCTTTACAAGAGCCATGTCACACACTTTCACCGAAGGTATGTCACACGCCTTCTCCATAGTTGTCACACACCTTCCCCATAGTTATGCCACCCACCTTCACCATAGTTATGCCACACACATTCACCATAGTTATGCCACACACCTTCACCATAGTTATGTCACACACCTTCACCATAGTTATGTCACGCACCTTCATCATAGTTATGTCACACACCTTCACCGTAGTGATGTCACACACCTTCACCATAGTTATGCCACCCACCTTCACCATAGTTATGCCACACACATTCACCATAGTTATGCCACACACATTCACCATAGTTATGCCACACATTTTCACCATAGTTATGTCACACACCTTCAACATAGTTATGTCACACACCTTCACCATAGTTATGTCACACACCGTCACCAAAGTTATGTCACACACCTTCATCATAGTTACGTCACACGCCTTCACCATAGTTTTGGCACGCCTTTACAAGAGCTGTGTCACACATCTTCACCATAGTTACGTCCTGCGCCTTCACCATAGTTTTGCCACACACCTTCACCATAGTTGTCGCACGCCTTTACAAGAGCCATGTCACACACTTTCACCGAAGGTATGTCACACGCCTTCTCCATAGTTGTCACACACCTTAACCATAGTTATGTCACGCGCCTTCACCATAGTTATGTCACACACCTTCACCATAGTTATGTCACGCGCCTTCACCATAGTTATGTCACATACCTTCATCATAGTTATGTCACACACCTTCACCGTAGTGATGTCACACACCTTCACCATAGTTATGTCACACACCTTCACCATAGTTATGTCACGCGCCTTCACCATAGTTATGTCACACACCTTCATCATAGTTATGTCACACACCTTCACCGTAGTGATGTCACACACCTTCACCATAGTTATGTCACACACCTTCACCATAGTTATGTCACAAACCTTCACTGCAGTTATGTCACACACCGTCAGTACAGTTATGTCACACACCTTCATCATAGTTATGTCACACACCTTCACCATAGTTATGTCACACACCTTCACCATAGTTATGTCACACACCTTCATCATAGTTTTGTCACACACCTTCATCAGAGTTATGTCACACACCTTCACCATAGTTATGTCACACACCTTCACCATAGCTATGTCACACACCTTCACCATAGTTATGTCACACACCTTCATCATAGTTATGTCACACACCTTCATCATAGTTATGTCACACACCTTCACCGTAGTGATGTCACACACCTTCACCATAGTTATGTCACACACCTTCACCATAGTTATGTCACACACCTTCACTGCAGTTATGTCACACACCGTCAGTACAGTTATGTCACACACCTTCATCATAGTTATGTAACACACCTTCACCATAGTTATGTCACACACCTTCACCATAGTTATGTCACACACCTTCATCATAGTTTTGTCACACACCTTCATCAGAGTTATGTCACACACCTTCACCATAGTTATGTCACACACCTTCACCATAGCTATGTCACACACCTTCACCATAGTTATGTCACACACCTTCATCATAGTTATGTCACACACCTTCATCATAGTTATGTCACACACCTTCATCATAGTTATGTCACACACCTTCACCAAAGTTATGTCACACACCTTCATCATAGTTTTGTCACACACCTTCATCATAGTTACGTCACACGCCTTCACCATAGTTTTCGCACGCCTTTACAAGAGCTGTGTCACACATCTTCACCATAGTTACGTCCTGCGCCTTCACCATAGTTTTGCCACACACCTTCACCATAGTTGTCGCACGCCTTTACAAGAGCCATGTCACACACTTTCACCGAAGGTATGTCACACGCCTTCTCCATAGTTGTCACACACCTTCACCATAGTTATGTCACGCGCCTTCACCATAGTTATGTCACACACCTTCACCATAGTTATGTCACGCGCCTTCACCATAGTTATGTCACACACCTTCACCATAGTTATGTCAAACACCTTCCCCATAGTTATGCCACCCACCTTCACCATAGTTATGCCACACACATTCACCATAGTTATGCCACACACCTTCACCATAGTTATGTCACACACCTTCACCATAGTTATGTCACGCGCCTTCACCATAGTTATGTCACACACCTTCACCATAGTTATGTCAAACACCTTCACCATAGTTATGCCACCCACCTTCACCATAGTTATGCCACACACATTCACCATAGTTATGCCACACACATTCACCATAGTTATGTCAAACACCTTCACCATAGTTATGCCACACACATTCACCATAGTTATGCAACCCACCTTCACCATAGTTATGTCAAACACCTTCACCATAGTTATGCCACACACATTCACCATAGTTATGCCACACACATTCACCATAGTTATGTCACACACCTTCAACATAGTTATGTCACACACCTTCACCATAGTTATGTCACACACCTTCACCATAGTTATGTCACACACCTTCACTGCAGTTATGTCACACATCGTGAGTACAGTTATGCACACACCTTCATCATAGTTATGTCACACACCTTCACCGTAGTGATGTCACACACCTTCCCCGCAGAAGTGTCATACCGATGTAAGAAGTAGAGGCTAATGGACAGATGTATTCATTGTACAAGTCATATAGAGGATATTTCACGCGTCCCTCATCGAGTGAATGGGGAAGGAGATATTTTCACGAGTGCGGTAGTTGTCAACCGGAAATTTCTTTTTCCATTACAAATGTGAACCCTTGAAACGTAAATTCTCCCTACCTAACACACAATGACGTTTCACAGCCCCTTAAAAAGTAGTTCCGAGTTTGCAAAATCCTAATAAATATAAATAAAAGTCATAAAATATTTTTGAGGTCACTAAAATTCTTAATCATACATTTGGAAATAATTATATACGAAATCAACTTAAAAACAAATATTCTTGAAATCTACGAGACCGCTGTTGGAAACAAAAGAATAGACGCTGGTCACGTAACAACACTGGCGCTTTGCCAAACGAACAGTCTCGATTGACAAGTTAAATGAGAAATGTACAGTTTATAACGAAATATTTTCAAGAGAATAACAAACGGCAAAAGCGATATTAACTCCATAAATGACCATCAGCCATTGTTTTGTCTTGTTAATGTGGAACTAACGTAAAAAGGAAGTCAGCAGATTGTGTACGGGCTGGATATTTACGAAAAAGGGAGACAATTTGCGGGGAGGTAGCTCTTGTATGACAATAGTTTCGTCAAAGCGTTATATTGACTGCAGTGAAATATCAAGTGTTATGTTCACTGCAATGAAAATACCATTTTCTCAACTTCAGAAAACTCAGTCTTTCACTCTGAGTATATAATAAAAAAACACTTTTTTTGAGCCGAGCGTGTTAAACTAATGCTATCAATATTGTACACTTTATCTGACGTTGTGTGATTATAATATTCTCCGCTGCTGAGTGGTCAATAGACAGCGGTAAACCTGAACAGCGATGTTTTACGCCGCTTTTAGCAATATTTCAGCAATATCACGGCAGGGGGACACCAGAAATGGGCTTCACACATTGTACCCATATCGGGAATCGAATCCGGGTCTTCGGCGTGGCGAGCGAACTTTAACCACTAGGCTACCCGATCGCCCCCGATGCCCACAAGGGATAACTGAGGACAGTGTACAGGTACAACTGGATCACACAATCCGGGAATGATGATCAGCCTCAGGTTACGCAGGAGAACAGCTCAGCCTCGTGGGCTGACATTCCCGGAGATCAAAATGCATTTTGTAAATACAGCAATATGTAACAGAGGTGTGAAATATTATACATCTGGATCACACACCTCAAACCTGTTATGGGACCTGACTATGCAACAGGTCATATGCATATAATAGCATTGTCAGGATATTTATTGTTGATAGCATCGATACCCACTGAACATTTTGATACAGCCCCCTGTTCCTTGTCAAAGCCTAAGACTTGCATCACTTCGGGCTGTCCTCCCGCACGAATCTGTCACGTCGTGATTAAATTGAAATACTGCATTTGTTTACCACATTCATTTACTTATTTACTCGCTGAATTGTCCGTTAGGAACTTATAAAACCAATTCACTTAATCTTTTTTACAATAAATATTTGCAAGAAGGAAAACATTTCTGTTGGTGCTTCAAGTATTTATTTAGTGCCTTTGGAATGGCCCCACTGTCATTTATGTTTAAAGTGGGGAACACTCCCTCTCACATTCGTCCCTTGTGTAGAAACGATTAGTATTGCCCCTACATCCGCCATAGGAGAAAGGGCGACAACTCAGTGTCCTTGTGTGGAAATAATAGCGGGGCTTTCGGGCTCTGCATCTACCAATATAGCGCCTCTGAGCACATCGATGTGGAACTGAAACATACACAAATAACATAAATGTTTTTGGTATAATAGTAATTCATTTCTAAAACTGTTGATGTCAGATGCAGACAGTTCATCGAACTTAACATGTGAATACCACACGTATGCCCAGTGGGGGAATTCGTGGCGTTAGAGATCCCCAGCAGCCCATGCTTGTCGTAAGGGTAGGCGAAATTTAGGATCGGATGTTTACAATGTGTGATCTGGTGATGATGGTCTGTGATGTGATGGTCGTCCAAACGTGACGTATCAGCGACCCACATGATGTCCGATGCAATTCTTTATTTTGATTTGCACCGTATGTTCAAATGTTTATTCAGGTGAACAATTGATTTGCCTTTCCATGTGTTTGAGGCGGGTGCCAACGGTGGGGCATGGAACGCTCACCTTATCGCGAATACATAATGATATGGTCGGAATTGTACAATTGACTCTGCTTTAAGCACAGCTTTCTTATGATTATGGAAATCTTTTTGTCGCTTTTATTAAATTCTTCTTAAAACCGAGGTATGACTCTATACTAGCCCCCACGGTATATAAGAGATATATCTAGATGTATATTGATCTATTGAATCCAATTAGCGTATTTGTAATCGTTTCTACACTACCCTTGGCGAAAATTTCTGACATATTCTGACTTAAAAGCGTCAATCACAACTATCTAATCTATTACGTCTACGTATACGTTCGTAGTATCTGTAACGTCTCTGTACAACAGGGACCTTAAAGGACACATGGACATCGAACCTCTTAGTTGGTCTTGGTGAAACTAGTTTCACTTAAAAGTTTCATCAAAAGTTTGTTCGTGTGTGGGTTTAATCTTTGTTTTAAACGTTATTACAAATAAACCAATTCCCCTCAAAATGTTATGTGATTTAAACATGTAGATTGTATACTTTTTCTGTAAATTGCTGCCGGTAGGGCAGGGCAAGATAACTGGTGTCATGTGGTGTCTTGATTGAATTCATAAAGACCAAGGAGTGCATATTTGGATGCATTTGTTGCGAATATTTTTGTATAACGACACACAAACAAATCGTTCGGGCTATTTCTTAAGGACTCAATTTGCGTGCCTAGCGGCCATAAAATTTCCGATTACCGCGATGGGGCTCGAGCCAAGGACCTTCTGCTCCGAGGTAAGACACCTAGTCCACATGGCCAAAGAGGTCAACCCCGTCAGGAAGCTGACAAGGTGGGCATGTCATCTGTGGGATGACTTCACGCCCTGCTACATACTCCTCCGTCAACGGAATCACATCCCGGGTCGCATGGTAGGGCGTATTTTGTACAAAGTTGATATGAACGTGCTCAGCCTAACTCCAAGGCTATAGAGCCAATGTAGTCGGTTGTTTGGTTGGTTGGTTATTTAACGCCGCACTCAGCAATATCCCAGCTATATGATCATGATGGCGGTCTGTAAATTATCGAGTCTGGACCAGACAATCCAGTGATTAATATCATGAACATCGATCCACGCAATTGGGATCGATGACACGCATCAACCAAGTCAGCGAGCCTGACCACCCGATCCCGTTAGTCGCCTCTTACGACAAGCATAGTCGCCTTTTACGGCAAGCATGGGTTGCTGAAGACCTATTCTACCCCGGATCTTCAAGGGGATAGAGCCAATGTAGCGGTCAGAGTACCGTGATTGGACTTGAACCACGAACCTTCTGATCCGAGGTCGGATCCCTTGTCCATATGATTAAAGAGGTTAAGGTTGAAAGGATGTCATCTTTTAGAGGTCTGATACACGTGGATCAGACCGGAATCATCGGATGTAATCAACCAAAGATACACATTGTAGATAGTTTAGTACGTTGTGATGCATCTTTAAAGGGGCTAATAGAGCCATGCCAACAAATATCCACTTAATTGACTTTGAGTGATTGAATGTTTGCAGAATTAAATGTCAAAATTAACACCTCGTAAAAACTGCAGATGTACTGTTAGTCTCTTTTCTGGGTTCAACTATATGCATCGTTAGACAAGGAGGACATAGGTATATTTTGTTACGTTCACGATGTACTGACATGGACGCCTCACAGTGCTCTGGTTCTTCATCAGGGCACCAGTGTGCTTAAGGAAACACTCATTTGGGATGTACCAGAGGGACTCCTCTGACACAAATTGACATGTGTTTCTCTACCGCAATTATAGAGTTCAGAACGATTACCAACAAAAAGGATAATTGGTAATGAAGCATCCGTGTGCCAGGGAATGGTAAAAGCGTTCGTGGTCATGTTAAATGGAACCTCTGGTCGCTTAGTAGCAGCCGCAATCGCCGGTGTCAGAGTCTTCGTGTCTGTAGTTTGTTGCAGTGGTTCCTTAATGAAGTGGTTGGAAATACTGATTGATATTGGGGGAATCTGTGAGTAGAGGAGTTGGATGGGAGATGCTACACTGGATTGTTCAGTGGGTATGCTGGATGTTCTAATAGTTTGGTTAAAATAAAAATTAGGTCTTTAGAAGGCATTAGCACTGATAGATGAATGAATGGACATAGCAAAATAAAAATTGTCTCCCTTCCCCAAAATTGCACTGGTCGGCGCCTGTGCAATAGTTTATTTTGGCATTAGGCAACAAGGTTTTGATACTTAAAATTGCATTTTTCACTTGATACTACGAATATTAGTATTCACGGTACTGAATTATTATTAATGTAGACGTAACAAAACTGCCGGTCAAAAGAAGTATGTTTGATGGTGACTAATTAATACTTAAACAAACAAAATGGTTATTCGATAGTGGTGTATTTGATATGGGTAACATAGATGTGTTTTTGACTTTACGTTTGAAGTGTTTCGGCGACTGTTTCAGCCTAGTAACGTTTTGATAACGTTTGTGATTGATTGTTCAAATCCAATTTTCAAGTGTATACTTTCTTTTACCCGACAGTTATATGCAATGTTAAAAATTCCTACCTGTTTAACTGGTCATGAACTCATAGACATAATATATTGCAGACAATGTGTCTGTTAAACGACTTTTCTTGGAATTGTTTCCATTGACGGCCGACACAGGTGTACATTAATGAATGACACAGAGTGGATGATGTGAGACTTATCATGATTTCAATGAGATTACTTGAATGAAGATATAGCACAGGATGGCAATACGTCAGCTTTAGTGTGTACATTCTTGTAGCAACTAGGGACAATGAACCCATTAAGATCCGGGTTAAAACTTCTGCAACCCACGCTTGTCGTCGACTAACGGGATCGGGTGGTCAGCCTCGCTGACTTGGTTGATGCATGTCATCGTATCTCAATTGCGTAGATCGATGCTCATGATGTCAATCACTGGATTGTCTGGTCCGGACTCGACTATTTACAGACCGCCATCATACAGCTAGGATAGTGCTTCGTTAAAAAAAACAGAGGGAGAATGAATGTTGTAATACGCCGTCGGTGATATTCTGATTACAACCCTGGTCGTCTAACGTTTAGAGCTATGTCCCGGTTGTTTCACCATGCATGAGTGGTTTCTACATGGTTCAGTGAAGTTACTGATCCGTCCAATCTATTTGAGAGAGACTATTAGTGGTCTTAGGGGTGTTTGGGTTTGGACAACTTAAGATAGTGCTATAATATAGAGATTAGAAGAAGCATATTTTATCAAATACTTAATGGGATACGATTAATTAATTTTTTTTAAATTAAGAAATGAAAGTGAACTATGACAGTTTGACTTTAAAGAGATTAATAGCAGATAATAGATTCTAACACTTTGTAGTTGGATAAGATTAATTACCGTTTCCTTTCTTTTAAGAACGGTGAGTGAATTAAGTTACTAAATGCGCGGATAAGTATATCAGTACGGATGAACACGGCTAAGATTTAGAGTGGAGTGTGGAGTTCTGCAAGTCGAGCACTTGTTTTGAATATATGAGAAATGTATACAATTCCCAACCAAGGGAATGACAAGCAAATCCTGATTTTCGTCACAAGATCTAACCTGTTTTAAATTTTTTTAGGCAGGCTGATACTGATATTCCAGGAAAGACATATCACGCTAGATTGTATATAATCGAATCGGGACCTGGTAAACCAATGATTGATATCATGAACACCGCCCCTAGTCGTCAGGATACTGTCAACCACTGTCATCCAGATCATACATTGTACACACTATTAGTCATGGGTGACGTAATATTAGCAACATTTCATCAATGTCACTATGAAGTACGTACATGGTTAGGCTTTTCGAATCTGTATATCCAAAGAGTCGACGTTTTTCACCAGTAGGCTATAAGCTACCCTGCCATCCAATACACTAAGTTATATTGCGCCGTGATATTGTATCCTATATCCCAAACACATCCACATAACTTGCTTTGGGGTTTCCACTTAAACACTTTTATAACGAATATTCAAGTTTTTTAAACATGACAAAATCCTAACAAAAATCAAATTAAGTTGTTCTGTTTATTTAGCCAAGAGATAATCAAACACATCAATGTCATTTTGTCCCACAGTCATCTTTTTTTGGTAAAATCGTTTTCTTCTCCTTCGAGTTGAAATTGATTGTGCGTTTTCATTGTGTGTCATATATTTTAATGAGCATTGTAAAATATTTTATGTTTTACAAAAAGTAAACTTCACAGATTGTTTGTCTCAGTGGTATATTGTGTACCCGTTGATCTGAGTAATTTTCTTTATCAACACGGCTAAATTGGAATCTAGATCGATATTACGTTTTACAAAAAGTAAACTTCACAGATTGTTTGTCTCAGTTGTATATTTTGTACCCGTTGATCTGAGTAATTTTCTTTATCAACACGGCTAAATTGGAATCGAGATCGATATTACGGTTATCGATAAACAAATCACTAATTAAATCAGAGAGATACTCACTGCAGATATGTCCGAATCCCGAAACCTTGATGCAAGTATATCCTTCGGGGCAGGATATAGTGGCCTGAAACAGTATTCGTATATTATGCTCTGACTGCGAACTATAGAAGTACTAGACTATAGTGGTGGGTGATACAAGGGCAGGGCGTTATGGCTATCGATTTATCTTGAATACAATGATAAAAAATTATGTAAACTTGTTAAGTCACCCTGACTGACAGTCAAGTCAAGTAGGGTACGGTGGCGTTGGTGGGGTGGTTTGAACCAGAAATAATTGAAACAAAAATATTTTGTCCTCGTGATCAGGTTATGTGAAACAAGATAATGTAGACACAATTTATGGATAACTTCATTTTTCTGTAATGGCGACATTTAGGTATAGATCCTTATACCGTTGTCAAGCAAGGCTCAATGATGAACATGGCACAGAATATATATGGTAGGTGGAGGATTAACAGTAGTCACAGTTGCATACACGAGTGAGATTAACATGAGTAGGTTAAATAATAACAACAGAAAGATAATACCACAACAACATGGTGGACAGAAAACACACGGTGAGGAAGCCAATAAACAGGAAGTCAACTGAGCAGGATTAAGTACCGAAACGTCGTCATTACAGTAAAATAAAGAACTTGTTATCCATAAATTGTGTCTACTTTGTCATCCGTCATCTTGTAACTTATGCCCATTAAACAAGAAATGCTGGACAAGAAAATGTTCGTCTCCTGTTTCACAATTAATATACGTGATTTGAATCAGTAACCGAAAAGTATCTTCTTTCAGTCAAAAATTCTAGTCTACCCTTGAACTGAATTTTTTAAATACAGAATTCACGTTAGTAGTTTTAACATTTGACATGGATTCAGTTTAACAGTTTTCCCATGAAACAGTCAGTAATTGGGCATTTTTGTATTTAGAATTTATTTTCCTGATTTGCCGCGGGCACATGCTAATGATACAGTCAAAATCGTGCATTGGACTCTGATTTGTCGCTTTTATTTATAAAAAACAAAGTTGCAGTAACAATCGGTATTTAACGCGTATATGCCAGGTAGTTTTGAATTTATTGAAACTCGCAATAAACACACACACACACACACACACACACACACACACACACACACACACACACACACACACACACACTTAATTTCGTTTATCCGACATACTCGTTTATCCGACATATCATTGTATATCATTAGCATACATTGCTGGCATACATTGTAGTTGGCCTTGCGTTTACCTTTGACCAATTGACCAGCTAATCAGTGGATGATAGGATAAGGTGCCACCTCTAGACGGCCTAGACACAGTCAAATGAATACCTAATGACACTTGAGTAGTGGCTATTGTTATCGAATAATCGCGTTACCCCTAATCCCACAAGTAGGATAACTAATGCGAAATATCCGTCTTGTCACGTCGGAAGTTGACGTAGGAAGGAAACGTCGACGTGGCGTTAGGTACGTATGGTACGCATGTATATATTAGCGATCCCTCAAGTGTGATATGCATTCTATTTTCCTCGTGGATTCGTCAAGAAACAAAATAAAATACATTTTTGAAACTCCGTCCGGAATTTAAAGTGTCCGGATTAACGAATTGGTGGAGCAATGCACGTGATATATGTGATACATATTCGCGAGGTTTCCTGGCTAACGACGGTTAGATGTGAACGAGTACAATGTTAAATACCTACCGGGCAACGTCTTGCATGAACCAACGTAAATGCCACAACCTGTAACACAAAGAATAAAACACAACAATTGATTAATATTATTGTCCTCGTACCAAGTATAGTAAAATGTATGTTGTTTTCTTTTAGTAAAGTCTTATTTTCTCTGAAGTAAAACTTACCCCGTTCATATTTAACAGTGCCTTGAAACACACGTGATTTCTTCTGCAGAAAGGTAATACAAAACAGTTTATTGCGTTGTAGGGATAAGATATCATTATGTATCTTTAAAGCTTATTGGTGTGAATTGGGTTTAGGGGCGGCCGGGCAGCCTAGTGGTTAAAGCGTTCGCTCGTCACGCCGAAGACCCGGGTTCGATTCCCGACATGGGTACAATGTGTGAAGCCCATTTCTGGTGTCCCCCGCCGTGATATTGCTGAAATATTGCTAAAAGCGGCGTAAAACCACACTCACTGACACTGACACTGAATTGGGTTTAAAGCTCCTTTGAACAGTACAACAGTTATAACATGGTATGTCAGCTTGATGTGGGAGGAAAACCCGAATTGGTGCGGGTTTTGGACGCTTACCATTTTGGCGAAACCTTTAAGCACAGGAACGGTGCTGACAAACCAAGAAGCATAACCAGGGCGAACTGGGATTCGAAACCACGATCACAAGCTTCTAGCATTCCTATATGACTCAACTCTGCACAGCCAATACTGGCGCCATGTTGAAGCAAGGAAGCTGTTTCGAACCCTTAATCAAAGCAGATTAAGACCCAAGGGCACTAAGCAACGGAAGCGTTACGTCCCACTTATGGTAGTCGTAACGCTAAGTTCATTTTGTGGATCGATACCAGGATGCTTAGGCGGGCCTCTCACCAACGTCAATGTTTGGAGTTTATGTTCATGTAAATATTGTTCATATACAGTTAACTACGGTTATAACGAACTCAAAGGGACCTAAGGTTAATTATTTATAATCGTGGCTCGTTATAAGCATATATACTGCATATCTACAGGAAATGGTCGGGACCCCCCAAAATAAAGCAAAAACAACAGAGTCCAGATATTCGTGTTTTTTGTACAGATTATAACGAACACGCTTATAACGAACTGGCGGATATAACGAACTATTTTTGGTCCCGTCCGTTTTATTATATATATGCTGTATATATGCTTATAATGAACTACGGTTATAACGAACTAAAATGAGTGGTCCCTTTGAGTTCGTTATAACCGTAGCTTACTGACAGGTATATTCAACTTATACATCTGATGAAATCACTTGTTTATAGATATATATCTCGATCTAAAGTTCAATTGATATTTTGAACAAGTAACACTTTTATTTGGATCATAAGAAAGAATAGTCTCATCTGAAATTACTGAGGAAACTGTTTGATTACAACCGCAGTTACGATATTCATGCGATTTTCATTAGTGGTTAGACACGCTTGGAAAAATAAAATGCAGCAGTTGAGGTCAGGTTGCCTTCAGGCTGTTTAATTAATCACCTTCTGAGTAGGTTGTATGCCAATACTCAAAGGTTTTTATTCATGGGATGTTCATGACATAATTGCAAAGGCACCAAAGGTTCCTTTGTCGAGCCAGGATCCGCTGATGGTGTGTTCGAGTCTCATATTCATCAAGTTCTACGTCTCCATGGGCTCACATCCCATATGAAGCTGCCACTAAAATCCAAAGCGTCAACTCATCAAAAAATGTACATTGAAATACTCACCAAGCTGAAAACAAGGAACATCAGCGAATGAGCAGACACAGCCATCCTTGCGTGATAGCGTCCCCCAAGTGAAAATCAGCTTGACCTCTTGCTGAAACACACTTATTATGACCATTTATTTCTAATACATGTAAGTCGATATGGATGTTGTTAGGGAGGGTGACATACTTGGATTATAAGTAGCCGGTTTGTGTGGAATGTCAACGACGCCCATGCCAGTTTGTTTTGGCTGAACCTTGCCACACGGGCGGTACACGTGTGCGCTGCTGGTGTTCCGTATATTGGCCTGACGGTACGTTCACTGCTGGGTGGGTGGATTATTGTGATAAGAGGCAAAGGCGTCAACAAGCTCGTTGGACCTCGACTCCCACGCTCACATGCCAACATAGAATTGTTGTTGATGTGTCACATCCTGGTTTGGATCATATATTTTGCATTCAAATTGGCTTTTGGGCACGGGACGTTAAGATTAATAATGTTGGGAACTTTATACACGGGCCCGTGTCACAAAGCGAGGGTAGCTGTAGATCGATCGTAACTCACATAGGCTAATACTAATATCGCTTTGTGAAAGTCGCCAACCGCTAGTCAGTTCTACGATCGCGCATTACTGCTCCTGCAACAGTTTCCTCTGCTAGACGGTTGGAGGTTTTGTTTGTTTGTTGTTTAACGCCGCACTTAGCAAGATTCCATCTATATGACGGTGGTTTGCAAATAATGGAGTTTGGATCAGACAATCAGTGATTGACATCATGAGCATCGATTCACGCAATTCGGATACGATGACATGCATCAGCCAAGTCAGCGAGACTGATCACTCGATCCCGTTAGTCGCTTCTTACAAGCATGGGTTGCTGAAGACCTATTCTCTACCCGGATCTTTACGGGTCATATTAAAGCGACCATACGGTCGTCCTATTGCTACGATTGCTTTGTGACGAATGGCCCTGACCAAAACTCGAATATCTGCCCTGAGGGTGGAAGGTCGGTGGCACGATACCCGGCCGCATGATACAAAAAGATGGTACTTGTTGTTACCCTGCCTGGCGCTCGGTATTAAGGGGACTGGTCGGCTCGGAGTCAGTATGCTGTGTCTGAGTGGGGTATCCATGAAAAACTGCGGCATGGTATCTCAGAGGGCTAACACTTTAAAAAACATAATTAAACTGACTAGTACAAGCAGCCACACGCACGCACGCACACAGGTCTCTACATAAGTGTATACATGTATAGCTTAAATGCAACGTTAAACCCAATTTCAGCTCGCCTTACCTCACCCCACCCCACTCGAGTAAATCCGGGAGAAAAAAATTAGCCAGGGGATGATGACCCACACTCTGACCAGGTCGCTCAACAATGACATGTATTACCCTTAGTACCAGGCAACTAATTTGCACAGGGAGATAAACTTCCAGCAAACTTCAAACTTCATGTTGTAAACCGAAACGGTCATCTGAAAAAACACCAAAAGTTTTTTTCTTGTCAGCTTGGTTAAAATGCAAAATTCTGATTACACAATCAGACACATATTAATATTTTTGCATGCCGTGACATCGTAATTGCTGTTTCCCGGCGTCGTTAAATATTAGTTAACCTTATGTCAATAAGTGACATCTATTAGCAATCCCAGACAACGCTGTATTCCCGCAGACGCCCTTAGATTAACTTGGATAAAACTTCATTTCACCACAACCAGTCTCAATGTTGACATTATATCAAAGTTTACGGCCGCACTGACGGGCTACCAAACCCCACCGACGTTAAACTGATGCATCGCTAACATATGTCATCGCAACATCGTCGCAACGTGACCTAACGAGTCGTTGCAGTGTAGTAGCTGCGTCAGCGTTCTTTCGTCACGCGACAGCAGCAGAGGGAACGGACAGCAGGATTGAGTGCTGGATTCGGCTAATGATGAACCGAGTTGGCTCGTGTTGACAAATATGTTTTTAATGGAGCTTTATTTGAAATAGATACACTAATTAAGCTTGCATGAGTGCTGGCTTCCTGTCACTGGATAACCTTCTCTGAAACATGATTGTTTCCCGGACGCTTGTTGGGATATGGAAATAGACGCGCAGAGTGTAGAGGTTACACCCAACTAAACGACTTCTATAGCAACGTTATATTTTTTTTAAAAATAACTAAGCATTCAACAGCTATTACTTGTACGTGTGCACACAGTTTGGCCTTAGAGCAGCAATAATTTTTTTTGAAAAAATGACTAGCTTAGCCAGCTCCTTTTCCGAGTACAGGAAGCTAAACACACCACCCCCAGTTTCGCACCAAATGTCACCTACTTGTAAATAGCTGTGGTAAAATTCACCATAAGTCATCATGTTGAAAAAGACAGTACTAAATAAAGAAAACCATGGTCAGTTTTAATAACTGGATGGATGTACATTTAAAAGACATAAAAATCTTACACAATATCCTCCAATCACAGCCTGCAGTTATCTCTCGATCTGCACTGAAGGCTTACCCTACGAAAACCGCACTGTCCAAACTGGTTATGATTTGGTGTAGTAGAACCTAGAAAGGAGACGTTGAATGGGTTATAAAAGTGACGATTCTGCCTTGACCCTTACGCACTTGTCCATTCAATAACATGGCATTAAATTCCTTCAGCAAAAACGCATCACACCCCGTATGGACGAAACGGATGGGTATGAGGTGAGATGAGGTGAAATGGGGTTTAACGTCGCGTCCAAGATTATTGCACTTATATAGCGACGTGCATGCACGTGTATGTATGTGTGTGTGTGTGTGTGTGTGTGTGTGTGTGTGTGTGTGTGTGTGTGTGTGTGTGTGTGGCTGCTTGTACTAGTCCGGACTGATGCCGATTTATAGTGCTAGCTCACTGAGATACCATGCCGCAGTTTTAACATGACTACCCCACTCAGACACAGTATACTGACTCCGAGCCGACCAGTCCTTGTTTAAGCCCCTTATTGCCGAGCGCCAGACAGGGTAAAAACAAGTACCATCTTTTAACGTCTTTTGGTATGACGCGGCCGGTGAGGATGGGTATGAACATTTCGGTTATTTCCTGTTAAGAGAACGACCGTGGTAGGTTTTTTTTTGTGGGAAACCCGTGGAGAGATTATCGTATGTATATCATCTTATGTTTACAAGTTCACCATCCATTGCGTCATTGCACGCGCGTATCCTCGGAAGTTACGTAACCATCTCGTGGTGACGTCATCACTGCTTCTTCAATTACGTCACTGTCTCCACTCATCACTTTCGCACAGCCTTTCATCGGGTGTCACATCGCATTATCGCTTTCCCCTTTACCACCCGCCCGCCCTTTTTGTCTCCACCCATCTCATTTCCATTGTACATCATATTTTATTGTCCATAAGAGGTACCAGGCACAACAAATTGTACAGAATATTGTAATATCTTAGCAATATGAATTACACATGTCGTGCAGTGGCGCGGTTCTTCTGGGACACCTCCTGTATCATCATAATTTATATAATTAATAGATAAATATACCAATTTGGGTTTTCGGTTACCGGCTTTCCAGCGGGAACCCAGACTGGGTTACCTTCTTACCAGTTTGAACCCAGTCTTTCCCGTTTTTAAACTCGAGAATCGAGAGTAATAATTAAATTTGGCAACGCAAGTTGTGACATGGCTGGCCCTGACCGCGTTCGCTCCCAGCAGACCCGCAGCTGTGGTCGGGTAGCGACGTTTCCGCCATTTGGGCCTTAGCATTACTTATCTATCAACAATTGTGTTTGGCGACATAGTCGCCACATAGCTAAATTTGGCCTGGTATGGTTATGCCATTTAGGCCTTTTATAGAATTTATTCCATTTCTAAATTAGGGTATCCCCTTATAACCTCCTCACCCTCGGCCATTAAATCTACTGTCATGTAGGTGGTTTCTTGGTGTATTGTCACGCAATAATTACAGTTAGTACTTGCGACTCATGTTTTTATTTTCTTCCTAGCATTTTCGCTACTTCCCTGATGATTTCCACGTCCTGTTTGTGATAAGCATGTGACCAAGACAGGTTTCTTTCAAGCGTTGGATTCGAACTCAGTACCCATCTAAACAATGTGAGGGGTGAAGTAAACCCATAACTGAAAGAACTAAATATTTGGTATTACCAATGGGGTTTCTTGAGCGTTGTTCAATATAAATGTGTCAGCAAGCAGACACAGCTTGAATTATGTTCGTATACCCGGGGTGGTCGGGTAGCCTAGTAGTTAAAGCGTTAGCTCGTCACGCCGAAGGCCCTGGTTCGATTCCCACATGAGCACAATGTGTGAAGCACATTGCCTGTGCCCCCAGCCGTCATAAAGCTGGAATATTAATAAAAGCGACATGAAATCAAACCCCACTCAATCAAATATCGGCGTGAAAGAGAGATTCATATTGTTACATCTATCAATGTACAAAACTATGTAATCAAACAGGTATTCATCACAGTAGCTGAAGGGTTCTGTGTGTTCATTTTCCCCAGTCAGCCACTGCAACGTGGAGTATGTGAACTGTTGAAAGCATCACATAATAAACGAAAGGAACACAGGAAAAAATGGATCATGGCGCGTGAACAACCCCGGAACCTATATTGCACGTATGCCATTTTGACCAAAATAAATGAAAACATGGATGCAAGGCACCAATCAATCATTTTTCGTTTTTAGTATATTTCCAAAACCTTCACCGGAATATTATCCATCATAAATTCCCTGCCTAAGTCATCTCGGGTCACAGTTCGGTGTATCTAGCCCTCCATTAGGCTTAAAGGAACCTGCCAATTTTCACTATCTTATAGATAAGGTCACAGTTCGGCAGAAATGTCTCCTCAATAGGACTTAAAGTCTTATTTCCCATAGGACATGTTATGCTTTCAATTACCGAACTCTCATCCCGAATGACAACTATCGATTGGTGGAAATATTAAGCCTATCAGAGCATTCGGGGTCTTTCCTTCTAATTCTGTAAGATGGCAGCCCGCCGATAGAGGAGAAGATGAGCGTTCCTCACTGACAAACACAACTATAATTCTTAATTGGACCCACCGTCCTAGCTTCTACATGGGAATCGGACTTGAAAGAACTTACAAACAAATAAGTTTAAAAGCTAGGAACAGGGAGTGTTTGCCATATGTCTTGGCGTCTATCCCTGTTGCATATGGGCAAATAACGACTCGCTATGCATGCGCAAGTGGGTCAATGAAAACTAGTTCTTGAAAATTGCTGCTATATGCATCGATATATTGATACGTTGCTTGGGAGAATTTGTAGATGGCCAAACACGTCTTTTGAAAGGCATGGCCCTGCACTTTGCCAGTCTTTACATTGTAAACACTGCATATATAAATGGTATATCTTGTTTTCAGTTCAAATGTCCTTAAATCTAATTAATGCTTAAATGGTTTTCGTCTCGAAACTGGAAATTGTTTGAAGTGTAGTGCCACTATTTGTATTTCTCGTCTCCTAGCGGTATTAGTAATGAAGCATTATTAATTTTTTTCATCACAAGTACCCAAAGCTCAAAACGTTATTTTTTCTTTAATATGAAAGTTAACGTTTATTATCCGAAGAAACTGATTCAACTAGGCATAAAAGGCCAAATAGCAGTGAGAAGATTATGAATCATGACAATCGGAGATGACTCCAGATGTTCACGGTTTTAAAACAGTAAATAAAAACCTTTTCG